ATGACATGTTTTTTGTGAATGTCATTACTTCTATTAGAGCTTGTGAGTTTCTTGCTCGTTCTTCTTATTAGCCAAAAGACGTTCTGAACGAGGTAGGGAAAAAAACGTTGGACGATTCAAAAATACTTTTAAGAAGTCAATTTGAATAAATATTTGAGGCCTGTTACAAGCAAATCGATTCTTTGTGTCATAATCTATATATTTAAAAATGAATCGCTGAAACGTATGTACGCGCATAACTTTCGAACGATTGCATCAAATTGGATAAAAAAAAAAGTGTAGGTACCTTATTGTCAGGACAAGGTTTGTATATAAGAATTTTTTTCGCCGGGTCAGCTAGTTTCATTTAAGGTTGATACTATATTCATGTATAGATAAGTTATTTCCGAAAGTAAATATTTACTTTTGATTATAGAACAATAAAAACAACATACGGTATTATAAAACCGCTTTATTCTTGTTTAAGTAGGTATTATGAATGGAATTTCTTGGTCGTCGAGTGAGATAACACGAAAAAGTATACCTAGTGATCATATTAAAATTCAAACGTCCTTTTTTTTGGTATGGAACTTTGAAAAGGACACGGTATAATCATTGTGGTCTATCTCTGGTTCAGCATCCTTGGTTTGGTGGTTTGGCTCTAAAAATCACAAAGTTTCTTTGAAATATTATTACATACCGATGTTTTAGTAAAATGAGAATAATAAATGGATACTAGTTCATTGTTTTAATAGATAAAAATACAAAGTATATGTTATGGTCTGCTTTAAAATCAATAAGCTTTTTTCACGTAGAGTAGACAAGGAAATGGATCATTGTTTCAGATTTTATTTAACTTTAAGTATTTTATACAATTGAATTTAATGTGTAAATACAAAGTATTTTGTCGTGGCAACTCTTCACGTTTGAGTAAACGTGAGGTATCAACTATTTGGTACGTCGCATCGTTATAAAATTATTATAAAGTGAAGTAAACGAATACATAACAGTTTAACTACTTCTTATACAGCTGGCAACAAAAAAAAATGTAGTCCAACTCCAACAGGTCCTTTTTTGCCTTTTAGAGTATGTACGTTTTATTTAATTAAACCTCTTGGCTTTGACAGCGCTGCGTTCGATGACGAATTCGAGGCTGTTTTTATAACAGAATAGCACTTCTGTAGTATTGGAGTGTTCCTAATTGATGACAGATATAGAATATAGGAACGGAAAAACACACGCGTATGTATAAGAATTCCATTGTTTATTTTCGAGAAGTAATAGATTTAAATGAACGTATGTAAATTGTATGCTGTCATTGTATGTGGCCATTATATGTATTTTTTTTTCTTTCTTCTTGATGTATGTTCACCAATATTTTAGCAATTATTATTACAATTATTTTTAAATCTTTTCGAAATCTAATTGATAGTTTAGCTTTTATAATAAAATAACTGGAAACATTCTGACAAGTACCAAAAAATATTTACCATAAAAAAACTATGTCGACGACATATTTATAGCATTGCTCTCTCTCTCTACGTTCAGGACATGTTTTAGATTGATTTTCAACATATATTTTTTTTTTAATTCGAAAGAACTCTACATAAAGTATACATAGAAAAACCTTTTCGAAATCGAAAAAGACGTTGTTCGACGGCCAATATACATAAGCAAAAAAAAATATATATATATATATATATATAGTTAATTTTTTCATATACTAAGACATTTTGGTCATACGGCTGGTTTCTGTATTAAGAAAAGTACAAAATCTCAACAGATTATGACAATAACTAAGGTTCTTTACGTTTCAAGTGGCAAAAAGTCCTAGTTTTAATGAACTGCAATCAACCGATTATTAAAAAAAAAAAATTAGAAACGAAAACCTGTTTGAATGACGTTTAAGATGACAAGTACGGTTTGAGACGTGCTTAATTTTAAATTCTCAATTCAGAAACCAGGTTTTTCTTTCTGAGCATTTTAATTAGTAACTTCAGGTAGGTATATCGTAGGTTGTAATGCTCCGTGTATGTTCCGCTTCACCGGTGTGTAGTGTTTGACCGGAACATGGTTGTTATAAGATCGGCAAATTACTGTAATTTACGGCATCTAGATACTAATCACGAAAACTACGTTAAACGATTCGACCACCGTATAAAACACGTGGTGCATTACTAAAATAGAAAAACGTTCTATTCAGTATTCAACAACGTCCGTCCGAAACGTCTTTAAAGTATGGAAACTTTTAAATATACGTACGTGCATGAACGATTTTATCATTGTATTCTTGATCGAAGTTTCTTATCAAGCACGAATCGAATTGATGCATAATGAATTTTTGGATGATTTTTGCACGTTGTCCTGTATCTTCGTCAAGGGAACTAAAATTTCTTGTTAATATTTTCAACTTAATAATATTTGTGTACGATAAAGTGTTATTAAATGCCTAACAGTCTTATTAATAAATAAGGTTTAGCTTTGGAGTAAATTTAGCTGAGGCTGCACTTAGTATTAGTCAAAATTCATATTATTAAACAGAGACAGCAAAGTTTAATCTAGCACAGGTTCTACGGGAGTTATATTTACTCCTATTACCTTCCAATAGGTTTACTTATTTTCTGTATAATATGAATTAGGACTAATACTAAAATTGCAATTTTAGCGTAAATTTACTCTGACGCTAAACCTTTTTTATTTATAGTACTGTTAGAGTTTAATACTTTAACAGGTAATAACAATTATATTTCTCAGTAACAACAAAATCATAGTTGTAATCTGGGGGTGTGCCATGGACACACTTGGTTTCATATAATGTAATACAATGTTTTATAAATTTCTAATTAAAATTATAGTATCTTATTTGGTTAACAACTACTGCTCTTAGGTATTTGACGATCAGCTATCCGATTACAATATTTCTGATTTCAATAATAAAAAAAAAACATGAAAGATCACCTGCAAGGAAGTTCTTATTTGATGTATTTGTTTCTGAAGTACACGAATAAATTACACGTTCATGTAATAAAAAAAAAACTTGATCATGCCATGATAATTATAAAATAATCATGTTCTATGTTGTGGCTCATCAAGGTCCTTATTTGTACAATGGTTACTTATTTATTTTATAAAGGTCAGAATAGATCCCCAAACAGATGTCAGATAACCATTAATAATCTTCCGTAACAGATGTTAGCAAGAAAAAAATATATATTCACAGATTGACGAGTTTGATATTATCAATTTTAATGTACAGCGTAAAAAATCACTATACTTTGGTGCATTAATTAATACAGCAATTAATATATATTGAACAGTTAACTTTATAGCTAGCACTCATAGAGAAAATTCTGAATAATTTGTGCAGATTTAAAACTGCTTAAAAAATCCACGACTTGTCGCAATGAGCTGCTCTAACCACGAAGCTTACCAGGATCTAACAGGATTGATGTATTTTTCAAGCACTAGTTACTTCTTTCGCTGGTACAGAGGGTATTTATTTATGACTAGTATATTAATGAAATAAAATGTTTTTTTTTTACCTTAGTGGTTGTGCGAATGCGTTACATAATTGTTAAGTGTGACCTAGATGTCTTAAACGTTTTCATTCTGTTTGTTCGCTCTGAACGCTGCATTTTAGGGAGGTAGATTCCGGAAGGAATAGTTTGTCGAAAAGCCGAGAACAAAGTTAGGAAGTAGATAAATCGAAAATTAAGAAAGGAGGGTGGAGAAAGATCGTATTAAAGTTTATCTTTGTCAAAGATAAACTCATGTAACTTTGTATTTAGACATATAGGTATATCTATAACGATTAAGAGTGATACTCTTGCCGGTGGAAAAATGTCTATAGTTCCCAATCAGCGATTAATTTGACTTAATGGTATGCCACGACGCTTACTTAGGGCACATAATGAGAGATAAATAAATATATTTTTTAGCGTTTTTGCAATTCCTGCCCAAAGTAATCATACCAAGTCGTTTGCAAAAGGAAAGATATATTTTAAGATAGCTTGTGAACATTTTGAGGCTCTCATTATATTTTTTTGCTGATAGATCAGGTATATCCGCCTTAAAATTTTTGGTTCTACAACAAATTGGTTATCTTGATGAGCTGGCAAAAATAAAACAATAGGTTTTGCATTAAAACCCCTGTATATGTTTATCTTTGATAGTTTATAATCAAGATTGGGTTTGCCCGCACGGTTCTCAGAGGATCATGGCAATTAAATACACGCAAAAAAGTCTACATACCTATTTAAAACAATGTGATTAAAGCTAAATATATTAATTTAACTTCAACTGTGCTGTAAGTTCATTTGTGATCTAGGATTTAACAAATAATATTCATTTATCACTAGATATTTCAGCAGATTGGTGATGAAACATTTTAAATCTTACGTTAATTTTCGAAAACAATTACCGTAGTTCATATTTGATTATCTAGAAGAAGGATATTTTTAATGTTTGGTGATGAACTAATAAGAACAAAGACATTTTAAGTTTCAAATTTCTATAAAAAATACACTAGGTAAATACGTGAAAAAAGAAGTGGTACAGGTTCTCCGTTGCTTAAAAAAATATGGAAAATTTTATAAGTAAAAAGTGCTTCTTGGTGGTGCAGATAAATATAATTTTGTTCTTAAATATGTAGTGTGACTGTCTAGAAAATAATTTATTTAAAATTATTCCGGTGTGCTGGCAAGCTGAAGTGTAACGGATCTTACTTACCTACTTTAGGTTACTATATGCAGAAAAAAATATCTACTGTGCTATATGTATATATTACGAGTAAATTACACTCATACAAAGCACCAGCGAGTTCATAGTTATATTCGCAAATATTTAAAATAATGTTACTGATGTATATGTAGAAAGAATTTTGTTTAAATTTAAAAATCAGACTTTCTTGGTGACATGAAAACAAGGACGAAATTAAGAACTTCGCACGAAAAAATTGTTGTTAAGTGAAATTTCTAAGTTGTGGTATAAAAGTTAAGTTATAAAAATACACTCATTGGACAATGTCGAAAGAAGAAAAGGGAGTGCCTGAAGAATTCCAGCCGCGGGAAACGTGGAGGATCCTCAAGAACGTGGTCGTTATTAGCTCAGCGTTCATGCTCCATTTTACAGCATATAGTGTATGTTTTTTTTTCATATTTACCAAATGTTGTTAATATTTATATTTATATATATTAATCTTATATTGTATTGCTTTGCTTTATTTGGGTACTTTGAAAAGATGTTCCTTGAAAATGGGCTACAATAAGCCTATGTAGATGAATTTATTTTAAAAGATAAATTAATAATTCTTTATTTCTTTCGCTGCATCATACGTGGGTAACATTGGGTAAAATTTACATCGCAGGAACACAGCTAATGTTATACAATAAGATTGTATAAATTTAACAGTAAAGTAAACAGTATAGTTTTGTAAAAATAATTTTAAATCATATTTATTCACAGGGTGCCGCCAATTTACAAAGTTCTATAAATGCAGAGGCAGGGTTGGGCACAGCGTCCTTGGCGGCGGTATACGCGGGCCTTATATTTTCCAACATTTTTCTTCCAGCTGTAGTTATAAAGTAAGTACCTATTTAAAAAGTGAATTAAATAGCATTGTCATATGAAAAAACACATATAATTTAACCATTATAGCTGCCCGAGATGGGATTTCTTTTGTGACCAGCCCTGCGATTCCGTAAAAATCCGAACCAGTATTCGAATTCATTCGGTTGTCAGAATTCACTTCGAAAGTGACATCCGCTTCGCCTTCAATCGATAACGTTTCGTGGTATAAGTTAAGTGAGTTTCAAAATGACGTAGGGATGGAATATCAGAGATTAAAGATAATCAATCAGTCTTGTTTCATACTTTTTTGTTACAAAAAAATGGAATCAAAGAATAGTTATTACACTAAATGATATGAAATCGGATACATGAGTGAATTTGAATTCGGGTTCGGATTTTTACGGAATCGCTCTGCTGAGCCTACCCTGTTGTCCACAAACGAAATTACGGAAAATTTTAAAATGTTACTATATATTTTGTGAAGACTTTGTGAAGAAGAAAAAAAAATCATATCCGTGAAGATTGCATCAGAGGCAGTGTCAGGTCCTATCTCCGTTGTATTATAAATTATTATCGTAAAATATGTTCCTTAGGAGTCAAATATAGATGTAATATCGTTTTCGAGGAAGTAAAGTAGGCCTTCAGATAAATAAATAAATATTAGAAAGCATCACATACATTAAGTCATACATCATGTCCTACTCTTAATTTATGGGTTCGGATATAAACTCGATGCTATAGTGGAATTCCTTTTTATAAGTCATTAGCAGAGGTCGGAATTAGGTAGAGTTATTTATGTACTTGCATCGAAATGTTGATATTAATGTGGACCTTCCCGGGATTTCTTTCTTTCATTGATGTAAGTTTGGCAACGTCGTGCGTGCTGTAGTTTAAATTGTGAAAAAGTAAATAACTTTTTATTTAAAAAATCACGGGATTTTTTCTGCTCTTTAAAATTAATCTCGGGATTTGAGGCATATCCACTTTATTCTTTCGCTGTATGAAATCAGTGTAAGTACATCTAATTCCGACCACTGGTCATTAGATAGTGTTTCCAGTTTGAAGGATTATTTCATTAATCGGTGTGATATATTCCGTGGTATTATTAAGTTTAGTAATGGTTATTCATATTCTGAACTCATTGTAAAAATGTTGACATTGAGACGACGTATATTTTTTTTTGTAAACGTCATTGATGTTTGTTAAATTTAAAGTATCTTACGTTTATTGTTCTACATAGGTAAATGACCTTCAATTCTGCTTATGGTTACTAATAATAGCATAATGATCTTTCAGTTATTGCTCAGTTACATTGGTCGATTGGGCTAGCAACCGGCGCGCGGGCGACCTTTGTTGGTCAATAACACAATGACCGACCATTGAGACACTGTAAATGAGCCATAATGCAATAACGTCAGATTGTTACGTTCTATTTTCGTAATAGGATGTCAGTGTCATATCAAATAATATCTCATAATTTAATTCTCTATTTAAATACTTTACTTTTTAATTTAATTATTCTTTCCATCAAAGTCTTATTCATAGTAAAGTGCTTATAATATTTTTCTTTGGGTATTCCACGTCATACTACCGACTTCTCCTCTTACAACTTTTCTATGCATGTTGGACATTTTTGCAATTCTCGCCAGGAGAGATGTCAGGAAGACTCGCTTACCTCCTTTGGCGATAGAGTTAAAAGCTATTTCTTTTAACTTATTGCTGTGTACTAATAATTTTTTCTTATTTAATTTAGCTATTGCACTCAATAGTTAAAATTTTCTCTATCCTTTTAATTATTCTCCTCCATAGATAATCTGGAAGACATTGATGTTTAGTAATAAGGCCACCTTTTATACATTTTGCATCGTTATAGTGCACTTTCCCGTAATTTTCGTCTCTTGTAATATATTTGCACAGTGCACATTGTTGATGAAATGAAGACTTTAAGCTCTAATTAATGTTCTTGAAAAGTTGTTTGAAATATAAAGGAATTTAAAAATTAAATGGACGTTTGTGCAACTCTACGAAAGTCTATTATTATTATATTATTTTTTACATATTTCAGATGGTTCGGTGCAAAATGGGCTATATCATTGTCCTTTTTGACTTATATGCCGTACATAGCGGCTCAGCTGTATCCCACATTTTACACCATGATCCCCGCTGGTCTGATCGTGGGTTTCGGCGGTGGTCCACTGTGGTGCGCCAAGTGTACTTACCTCTCAGTGGTAAGTTGCCTATACCATACCATATGTGGTTTATACTACATAGAAAATTTCCAAAACCATAGTAAAATCTTCAAGGCCGCATAAATTTGATCATGATTAAAATAATAACAAAAGGTAAGAAAAAAATGGTAATATGAATCATCTCTATGTTTGTTTATGTTGTCTTTGTTAGTAATAATGAGGGCATAAAGTCGTAACAATATATAATAATAAAAAAAAATCAGCTTTATTGATAAGCCTCGTTTCCGCATAAATTTGACTTCGCTTTTATTTATCAACCAGCTAATTAGACACAAAAATCAACCAAAATAGATAGTTTTATACATGGAATATTGAATGGTAATAAGTAGTAGGTGCTGTTTAATAATTTAGATGTAAATTATATCATCTTATTTTTTAAATTCTATTTATAATTGCAGGTGTCTGAAGCTCATAGCAGAATCTCAAAAATACCAGCGGAAGCACTACTAGTGCGGTTTCTAGGACTATTCTTTATGATATTTCAAATGAACCAAGTGTGGGGCAACCTTATTTCATCACTAGGTGAGGTTTATCGTAATGTTACCTTATGTCAATACATTGAGTATGATCTACATCTATTTAGCACGCCTTGATGATTTTTATTCGTCTAAGTGTGGATCGGACTCGCTCATGAGGGGTTCCGTAGCATTACCTATGAGAAATGCAAAAAAAAAACTCAATTTGGATTTTAGTAGGTATTTGTTGTTATAGCGGCGATAGAAATACATCATCTGTGAAAATTTCAACTGTATAACAGTGCATGAGATACAGCCAGATGACAGGTGGACCGACGGACGGATGGGGGTCTTAGTAATAGGATGTTTTTAGGGAACTCTAAAATCATAAATTAATTGGTTTGCTAATGAGCTACTTGGAATCATAATAATTTTACAAGAGGGTATTCAATGGTGGTAAAAAAAAAATATTATACTACGTAAATCATGGGCTTTATACGAAATAAGCTATCATATGAGCGTTGCTGTCGTTTTTATCAAGAGGATGCTTAAAGCTAATTATTATTAATTATAAAACTGATTGTAAACAAAAGCAATATTAGCCAAATAAACTAATTAGAATGTGAAAACGACATCATAATTAAATGAAGACAGACCAAAATGCGGATTTATAAAGTGTTCTCCACACAAAAAAATTACTAAATTACTTTTAGAATTTAATTAATGATTCTCGTAACGGAGAAACGACAGGATATAATTATTAGCGAACACGGAACCTGTAAATGCTCCGAAACGTCTTAAACTAAATACAAACACAAAAGTTGTTTCATTTATGGATAGTGTTCGTGAAAATATAAGAAATCAATAATTTTTAATTAATTGTGTAGCGCAGTATGTCATCATCAGTTCTTTATTATTTGATGTTTACCACCTAATTATTCTTTTTCTCTTTCTGTTATATTTAGTGTTGTCATCCGGCGACAACGCGGCGGCAGTGACGGCGGTGAACGCGACCATGATACCGGAACTGTGCGGCGCCAACTTCCTGCCCAGCGCCGACGCGGCCGAAGTGCTGCAACAACAGCCGCCTGAAAAAATACAAATGATGAGTGGTATGTTATTTTGGTGATATTAGATTTGACTATCACTAATTAATTCCTTTGCACAAACACAAATATACACAAAACTAACAAAAGTACACATAAAATTAAAATTTTAAAAAGAAACCCTGAAAAATATGCTTAATGAAAAACGCTTTAAAAATCTACTTTGTTCCTGGTACCCTCCAACCCATGACCTTTCGCAATCCGGGCGGCTGCTCTAACCACAGATCTAACCATGACCTAACAAGACTGACGAATTTTTCAAGCACTTGTTACTTTTCCCTACTGCAGAGCGTATTTTCATCAATGTTCAGGCAACCCATCTAAACAGCTGAAAGATATATTTTTAGAAATACTTAAACTTCCGATAAGTGTGAAAATTTGTTCTTATTTCATGTTTCATCAATTTTATTTTTAATCAGTTTCACAATCACAATGCTATTCTGTAAGACATTCTTACTGAAAAATGCTTAAAAAATCCACTTTGTCCCTGGTACTCTGAGATGGGACTCGAACACACGACCTTTTGCAATCGGGCGACTGCTCTAACCACTAACCGATGACCTAACAGGACTGACGAATCAAAAAATACAAATAAAAAAAGAAACCCTGTATTGTTAAAAAATAAAAAATGTATATTTATTCCATTTCAGGTATATATTTAGCGTGTATGGCCGGAGCTGCAATAATCGTTGCTGTTGGTGTCGATTCCATGAAAAGGTAAATAATATAGTAGATATACTCGTACAAATGAAGACTACAAAGTCCACATTTCTTTTTATTTTATGATGGGCTTATTCTTGAGTCACATATTTCAGTTTACCGCAGGAGAGGAAACGACTCAGGATTTGGAATGATGTAATTCTTTCCATCATTTTGTTTATAGTTAATGAACCATGTGCATGAATCTTTTATAAATGTAAGCTGTACAGTATGTTTCTCATACTTACTACTTTGCTTAAGCAACAAACACTCTTATTATTATATTTGACAATGATACAATCCATAAGATAAAATTCGTGTCTTTCCAGCTCTTGGATTTCTTAGGCAATATGAATCTGGAACACACTCTTACATTAAAAAATTATTATTTAAAAAAGCTCTTCTCTAAATAACTTTTGAAAATTACATTTATCAGACGTAAGGCGTATTTACCTCTATTAATGATATTTGCCATAATGTGGCATTTTCAGGTATGATTCAAGTCGGATTGGCACTCAGACAGGTTTATCAGGTACATCTCTGCTAGCTGTCACGGTAAAGCTTCTGGTGGAGCCCAATCAGCTGATGTTGGTCATCATTAACATCTTCATTGGTTACCAACAAGCTTTTTTTGGAGCGGACTTCACTGCGGTAAAGATAATTCCATTGAAATACACAAAAGAGAAAATCAATTTCAACAAAAAATTCCATAATTAAGTTTCATAATTCACTTTGAAAATAGATTATTGTGGATTCTATTAAGAATATGTCTATTCATTTACGTTAAAATGTGAATAATAATTACTTATTTTTAATTAAATTTCCAGATTTTAATTCAACTTTTCATTTTATTAAATACGAAAGTAAAACATTAACACACGGTTTTAGTTTTTGATTATTAACTAAAGTTATTTATTGTAAGAGACATGACTCATTTGTGAATATGGACCAAAACCTGTGATATTATAACAGGCGCTAAAGCCAGCTATGCCAAAAAAGCTTGAGCAAATTTTGGTGATCTACCTACTTGAAATGTATAATATTTTAAGGTTTACAATTGGAAACGAATTTTACGAATGCTTATTTCTTTGCTAGGTATTTTCGGAAATATTGATCTGATCATAAAAATTCTTTCATCTACGGGGGGCTATACCATATGCGGTGACATAGGCCATACCTTATTTACGCGGGCGATGTCGTGGGAAAAAAACCAGTATCTAATATATTAGGGGTTAAAGTATGAAATTGCCGATTTGTACTGAAAATCAAAATTGTTTATTTTTTAATTTTTAACAAATTTATTTAATCAAAATAGTTACCATTATTATCTATACATTGCTGCCATAAAATAGGAAAATCATTGATGCCTTTGCGATAGAATTCTGAGGATCTAGACTGCACAAACTATGTGAAAACATTTTGTACTGCCTCCTGGGAAGAAAACTGCTTGTCACGTAGATAATTGTCCATGTATGTTTTAATTTAATTCTGATTTTTTTTATAATTTTTTAGGCATTCGTGTCGTGTGCAGTGGGCACTGGCAGTGTAGGATTTGTAATGATGACTTATGGTTTGGCGGATGCTATCGGGTGTGTCATAACCGGATATGTGGCTAAGGTAATTTTTATATATTTTTTTAAATATTTGGGCAGTTTGTAAGTTTTGAGTTTATTTATTATTAGATCATCATATTCATCAGCCTTTTTACGTCCCCACTGCATGGGTTCAGGCCTTCCTTATAGATGGTTAAGGAGGATGGGCCATGACCCTCCACGCTGGCCCAATGCGGATTGGAGGTTATTAATGACTGCAAATGTAACCGGGACCAACGACTTAACGTGCCTTCCGAAGCACGGAGTAGCTCGAGATAATAATTTTTTGGTCAGGCATCCCATGACCGACCCTTGCGAAAGTTGCTTAACGACAACGATCGCGGGCCGCGGCGCTTATCCATTACGCCACCGAGCTACTTGCTATTTAATAAAGAATTTTACTTACCATTATTTAAGTTTATAAAAAACATCGTTCAAAAATATTAAATTCAAATTTTTGTTTTGTTTTGTAAATAGTTATATGCGAGCTTTTTCTGTTAAAAGGTTATTTAGATTTTTTTTTGTATGCGGCCGAAGGACAGAATATATTATTTATAAAAATTTGTCTATAAAAACTTGTTGTCAGGTGTTGGGTCGTCTCCCGATGATTTGTTTGGCGTGTGTGACGCACGCGGCGCTGATGGCGGCGGTGCTCGCGTGGAGGCCGCACGCCGCCGACGCGCCCGCGCTATATGCGGTGGCTGTATTGTGGGGACTCTGTGACTCGGTGTGGATAGTGCAGATCAACGGTAAGCTCTCACTTTTTGTCTTAGCTTACCACTAGTCCTAGCACTACCTTACCATTACTTTAATTGTAATTAATGTTTAGGTATACAAAAAAAATAGAAACTATGTAAAAAAATAATAATATAAGCTATATTATACGCTAAAATTAACTTTAAACACAATGTAATACTAACCAAATATAATTTATTAGTAAATATTATAAGAAACCAACAGCTTTTTTCTAACGCTAGATTATGACACTAAGGATATTTCATAAAACAAAGCCAATAACAGGTTTTCCTTAAATTATGTCCATTGTAGTTGTGTAGTTGATTAATTTAAGTTGAAAACAAGCAATCGTTTAGTGAGGAGATCAATTTTCAGTATTGACTTTCCGTAATAGTACACTCACCTACACAATATAATATACTATACACATATAATACATAATATTACTAAATAAATTATTTATTATAATATTATTATATAATTATCTTCAACATCGTCATCTCCACGAACATCTTTTTTCTCGAATGCTTTATGCACTTGGGGGGCGTCCATAAATTACGTGAGATGTTTTAGGGGGGGAGGGGGTCGAGGCAAATCTCATCTAATCTTACGTTGTTCACCTTTCAACCCCTGTTCCCTCTTTCTCATCACCCTCTATCCCCTTTTCCTTTCTCTACCACTATGGAGGGGGCAGTGGACCAACAAGACGCTCCCGGGAGAATTCCCACCCCCTCTACTCATCCCCACTCATCATCAACCGCGCCTCTCCCATTTTAAAGGGAGTTGGTATAATCCCCCCTCATAAGGGGGATTTAAAGCAAGACTCATCAAGTTCTCCACTAAACTCAATTGGAATTTTGTAAAAAAAAAAAAAAATCTTACGTTGGAGAGAGGGGGGGTCTCGGCAAATATCACGCAATTTTTTTTTCCGATTGAAACAAAAACAAAAAAATACTATTTTGGTCCATTTAATCCAGATTGTACATGCTTAAGATTTAATCTTAAGCGTAATCGTATACGATTAAGATCATTCACTAATTCATTCAAAAGAAAATAATTTCATTCATACTTCGACGCTATACATCTACTGAAAGTCAAATCACCATATTTGTAGGGTTCTAACGATATGTACTTTCGATATCGAGTAGGTATCGATACTTTCAAAAGCTTTACTCGATACTGAGTATTCGATACTACAACAAGGCAAATACTCTCAAGTACTCATCAAATTGCATTTTGAAAAATCTCACGTGAGATTGGGGAATGGGGGAGGCGGTTGAATAAAATCTCACGACATCTCACCAGGGGGGGAGGGAGGGTCAGAAAATTAAAAAAAACACCTCACGTAATTTATGGACGCCCCCTTTCCCCGCCGCTTGAAAAGCGGTAGGGGATGTGATGGCTCTCCATTCGAATTGCCCTCCAGGACTAGTAAAAACACAGAGCTAGTATATATATTTTTTAATTGTTTTCTAGTGTGATCTGCCGCGAATGAATAAAAACCATTTGGTTAATTTGGATTAAAATTTAAAAAAAATCTCTAATATAACTATTATCATGCTACCACTAATAATGTTGAATTCCTTTTTTTAACTCCCTATGATTTATTGTTATACAACACGAAAGTTTAAAAGTACACGTGATGTAAATAACTGAAATATTTAAAGCCAAGACGCCAATCATAAAATCGATTCAGTCACGGTCATACCACAAACATACCATGATTGAAATTCGGAGGTCTATCTTTATTTTTGTTTGTAGGCCATTTTACAATGCATATCAATAAATGTGCTTTGATTTATTAATTAAAATATGGAAAATAGGCTTTACAGAAGCGTAATTTAGATAGTTTCCGACTAGTCGATATATTCACGCGGTTGGGGTCTATCGCAGACACTCGTGGTGCGCGGACGTGACGCAATAGTTGTAATAAATATTAAACAACATCACATACATTGCTCAGATTCCAAGATGAGTAACTAAAGCCCCCGTATTATGGAGTATCCGAGACAACGAAGGTACCACAACACCCAGACCCGAGACAATACAGAAAAAAAGTTCATTTTCTACCACTCGGCTGCGGAGGTAATGTTATCCGTAACAATACTATCTAAATAACTTTTGTATTTTCCTTCAGCTTATTACGGCATCCTGTTTCCCGGTAGAGAAGAGGCAGCCTTCGCCAATTTTCGGCTATGGGAGTCTGTGGGCTACATTATAGCCTACGTCATCTCACCATACCTGCGCACCAGTCAGAAGACCTACTTTATGCTTGCGATGATGTTAGTCGGAGTGCTGTTTTACTTTATCGTCGAACACAGAGATAGAAAAGCTAAGAGAAAACTTGATATAGCGAATAAAGAGCAGTCTCCTGATAAAGGTGTTGACAATATAGCTTTTCAGAATGTGGAACTATGACGTAGTCAGGTTTAAATGTATTTTTTTGTGCAATATTTTTATAAAAAACTTTTGTTGTTAGTGACTTAGTTTATAAACAATTTAATAATGATACTATAACAGTACAATATAGGAGAAAATATATATACAAACGGTGACCAACTTTCAGAACGTTATTAAAAAAAGTTTTGTGTTTGTTTATAGCAGTTTATCGAAGTAAGAAATCTTTATGTTTATGGAAAATTTAGTTATTACATTTGATTAAGAACTTTGTATTGAATGAAATATCAAAGCTATTTGGGTAAGAGTGTTGAAATATGATTTTTAAGACTTCATTGAACTATTACTCCTATAATTTTATTATTTAATGAAAGTAGTTGAAATACAGTTTAACCTATTTAGTTTATTTAAACACCATTATCTATATTTATTCTGGCAAGACCATATTAATGTGTTCAGTTGTTACAGGTATAAAACTTTATTTATGTTGAGAGATATATTTAAAAGAAAAATTATAATAAATTACAACAAGTATTACAATATCGGTGATCATATTAATGTTACCTTAGATAGTTTATTACGAATTCTACAATTTTGTTTTCAATGCAGGTGCTCATAAAGCGCTATTTTTTTAATCCATTGTAAACACTGAAAGTGAGTCTTTAAACACGTGTTAAATAAAAATGTACTGAAATCCTTTACAGCACACGTGCTTAAAAGTATTTTTTTAATTCTTTTTGGCCGAGCACCAAAGAAATTTAAAAAAATTTATGAAAATATCAATTAACTTCAGAGGCAAAAGTATTTCAAGGATATTTACAAATAAAAATGTATGACACGAAAACATGTTCAAATATCACGTTTAATTTTAACAAATAATTTTTACCTTTAATACATACTTAGTTTTATTAACCTATATATTTGTTTTATTTCCTCGCAAAAAGCATTGAAAAATGTTGTAAGAAATTTGAGCGTAAAAGGTTTTTCGAATTCGTGCCAATTTGGCCCTTATTCGTAAAACCTTACTTTCCGCACTCGTATCTTAAATAACTATTATGTAATTTGTTAGAGCTATTATATACGAGTACCGTAAAAATAAGTTTAATTATATAAACACTTTTTGTAAAATTTAAATACTGCGATAATAAATACGATATTTTTCAATTTTATTTTTATTTTTCCTCGGGAAACTTTACCTTGAGAATGAAGTCTATCAATTAGATTACAAAATAGTAGGTACCGTTTTTGAGAATGGCTTAAAAAAATACCATGTACACTGATGCCTGAGGATATCTTAAATGGTATTAAAGATCAATAATGTAAGAGAGAGTTTACCACGTCAATAGTTTCTTGCCGGTTCTTCTCGGTACAAGGTCTCCCGCCGTAGATTTACGAACCGATGGCGTAGCACTCGACTTTCACTGGTGCTTATAACAGCTTAGACTGAATAAATATTTTTGATTTGACTTGAATACTACAATACAAGTCTCATATTTTTGACCATGATAACAAAATCTTACCGGGACTAATTAAGGTTCAAAGTAAAATGTGTAATACCTGTTTTGTTACCGTTGAAAGTTGTATAGGGCAGAACACCTTATTTTGGTAATTACCCCTTTTGGTCGGTGGCTCTTAAAGGCGTACTAACTAACACATTGGAAATATATTACTTTACCATGAAAGGTTTTTAAAACGATGCGTTATGTTAAAATTAATGCCGTTAACAGCTGTATGTGATGTGTCAAAGTTCATTATCTCTTAACTCTTAAAGGATCAAAACCTGGTTATATTCTTAAAGTAGCTAAATTCAGATTATATTTTCAAAATTGTCAATACCAGGTCGTCCGCCCTGGAACATTTTTGACACCGAAATTTATTTCAGAGTACAGCAGCTTTTTAGTGTTTTTCTTCCCATATCTCTTGTTTTGTTATTCTGAAAAGATCTGCGTCGAACCGTTCAACATAATCTGTAACACAACTTATAGGTTCAATCAAATAAGACAGACTTCAAATAAGATAGTAAAGGTTTTATTTGATATGATTTTCGACTTTGATTTTTACACAAATGCCCAAATAATGGAGTGTATGGTTAATATATGTGAAGTTTCTTTGTTCCACCACAATCTTCCAACACTTAACGAATGTAAATGTATGTATAGTGTATCATCAGTAACCTTACATCATCCCGAGTGACATTGACTGTATATATATATTTTTTTATATTCAATATAGCGGATGTATGACGCTTTTTAAAAAATATAAAAAATATTATATCTTAAATTTTAGCAACATCGGCTGATTAAAGGTTTATTTAACAATTAAAAGTCTCGATGAGTACATTCCAAAAATATTTACTTTGCATTTATTGGTTATTAAAAGGAATACAATAAACTGTTACACAGCCAAAATCTACTGCCAAAATGTTACACAGAATGGCGATCCCGACTGTAATAAGATTGGTTTATCCAAGCCATAATACACTTTTAAACCGATTTTGGCAGGCTAGCTTTTTAATTTTTGTTTCTTTTTTTTTTTAATATCAAAACTGTACCTTACCTTAAGATGTTATTTCTAATCTAGCTTTTACTCGGTCTCCTGGCAATATCGTTAGCATCTCGGGTTGTCCTATGAAATTTTAAAAATTTTTCTTTAAGAAAAAAGTCCATATTTATGCATATAGTTATAAATAATGGCACATAATGATTTATAAATCGATATACCATTTATTACGCATAGTTATGCATAATTTATTAATACACATATACTAACACACTCACACACACACATACATACATAAATACATGTCGTGCGATATAATTTAAATGTATGTATTTTCGTAAAATACTTACATTTTATTTGTTAACTGCCCTAATTATGATAAATTAATTAATATAATTTGTAAACGTAATAAGTTTCTATAATTGGCATCAATACTGCATATTTGTTTTTGTATTGAAATAACAAAACTGCTGTTAAAACTTTGTTAAATTAATAAAAAATACAAAAATATCTTTACTAATATTATAAAGAGGAAAGACTTATTGTTTTTTTTTCTATACATTGAATATGCTCCGAAACTACTGGACCGATATTAAAAATTCTTTAAAGAAAATAAATTTCGTTCTTATACTTTTTGTTCACGCAATGGAGATTTTTGCCACGTCTAAACAAACCTTTACCAACATTAAGTGTAATAAATATTAGTGTAACTTAAGTATAGAATATATGCAATTTTAAATACAGCTTAATAGCGCCTTTAATCCTAGTACATAGGACTCGTGCGCCCGCGCAGTTCTCACAAGGAGACCTTCGCTACAACGTAGTCCGTTCATATCATTCGATTGTGGCACAGTGTAGGTTATAGCACTGCGCGGCACTCTAATTTATTCGAATAGGGAATCGAATAAATTATTTGAAATTGGGACTCGAAAGTGAAAAGTTTTCAAATTTGGAAGTGTTCTGATATGATAACGTAGCCATCTTTAGTTTTACTCGCGCTTAATATGTGAGGTGTTGATATTGGAATAAGTTGTCGAAATAAAAGGTAAGGTTTGACTTTTTTGGCTTAGATTTTGAAAAAATGTAGAGATTTTAATTTTTCATAGTAATTCTATAATTATAATTCGTAGAAAATATATTAAATGAATTAATAAATTTTAATACACCTATGTAATGATATAACACTTTTTACACAAATGTGCAAGGGCGGACTTAATGTCTTAACAAACAAAAACTATTGAACGGATTTTAATGAAATATGTTCTTACGATAGAGGCCCGTATTAAAATCTACTTTTTATGCCTCTAAACCATTCCTCAGGTATAAATATTATGTCAAGTAATAAGCGGGCGAAGCTTTTAATATCATATAAACACTTGATACAAACAAACAAATAGGACTAATTAATAATATTGCAATTTATATACAATTATAAATTTTTAATGTTTGTTGTTACGCTTTCGCGTTAAAATGACTAAACGAAATAAAAAAATGGAATGCAAACAACTAGTTTGTCAATTAGTTAAACTTTATATAGTAGGTGTAACACCAAAAAAATTATCTTGGGCTTTAGATTGAAAATCATATTGATAAACGTTAATATTTAAAGTTTGGTGTTTATTATAAATAATCAAATTTCCACATTATAATGATAAATATAAAAATATATAAAAATGCATTGTGGTTATGTATTAATTATAATATTCAACCGGTTCTTATTACAATCATGTTGGACAATATCCTTGAATGTCAAACGGAGAGAGGGAATTGTGGACATTGTTTCCGGTTCTAAATTTAACATAAGTACCCATAGTATACCTTTTTTCTAGAGACACTGGTGAAGAAATCAACAAGTCATCTTATGACCCGAAAACCTTGAATTAGGAATAATTATACTAAATACTTTTTATATAAAAAAGTGTAAAAAGTAACTCCTTTCGCTTTTGAAGACAAACGCTTTTCTTCTATTGCTAATTACAGATAACAAATTACACCATTGTATGACTTTTTTACTCTAAAAATTGATCTCTGTAATAATTTTCAATCATAATTTTATCCATTTATTTACGTCGTTAAATATTCTTAGTAAATATATACTATGAAAACCAGTCTGAAGCGGTATTAGATATCAAAAATGCAGTCTAAAGAGTTGCCACTACAATATTCTCGTCTCTCATTTTTTTGGCCATGATAGCATAATAAAATTTTAAGGGGAATAATTAAGGTTCAAACTCAAATGTGCAACACTTGCCAATTTCATTACTATTGACAGTTGTATAGGACTGAAAACTCAATTTCGATCACTGCCCCCGTTTTAGACATTTGGCACTTTAATGTGTTCTGACTAACGCATAGGAAATATATGGTTATATATAAATAGAGAGACTGGTGCACCTACGTACATAAAGTACCGTAGGCACCATAGGTACTACTATAAATAATAGGTAATATATGGTTATATATAAATAGAGAGACTGGTGCAACTACGTACATAAAATACCGTAGGCACCATAGGTACTACTATACATATCATCATCATCATCACCAGCCCTTTTGCGTCCCCACTGCAGGGGTCAGGCCTTCCTTATGGATGGTTAAGGAGGATGGGCATATATAATATACTAACTATACATATACTAATAGGTAATCAGGCCGATATAACGAAAAGTTAAGACTTATGGATATTCAGATTTTATATCCGAATTAGCTGACCCGGTAAACGTTGTTTTGCCATATATGGGGTAAAAAATAAATAACCTATTCGGGGACCTATTGAATATACATATTCAATTACATTACAAAATTGGGCAAGCCGTTTCGGAGGTGTGTGGTTACTGAAACTGTGACACTAGAGTAGCTCGAGATAATATTTCTTGCTAAAGTTGCTTAACAAAATCGATCGCGGGCCGCGGCGCTGATCCACTACGCCATCGAGCTACTCATTTACTACGTTTGATTTTACATAATACAATAATATGATCCATATCTCCCAACTAAGGTCAACCTGAATTTTGGCAGCTCGGATTCCTTCAATACTAATAATTTGTACGGCTTATTCACGTTCGTATTGATGTCTGCGTGTACAGTACCTACTATTTCTGATTAGGTAAATGCTTAATTTCCCGAATTCAAAAATCACTAAATTCGCATATAATGCGTAGAGTTATGATTTACTTTACAGCAAGCAAATTACTGATCAAAATGGCCGAGACGCCGATGTTCACGTCTCGTGAGAAGTTGCGCATCAACCGCAACATTCTGGTGCTTGGGTTCGCGTTCATGGTGCAGTTCACGGCATTTCACGGCGCCGCCAACCTGCAGAGCTCCGTGAATAGTGACGAGGGCGCGGGCACATTCACGCTCGCTGCTATATACTTCTCCCTGATACTGTCCAATATACTGCTGCCGGCAGTAGTTATAAAGTAAGAACTGGGGCTCGCCACGAAGTCACGCATTATTGTGTTCAGTTCAATATTCTTTTTACTTATTATAATCAGCTGAGATTAGCTCTACTCCATATTAAATATTCATATGGAATGGAGCTAATATGAGTACAATATGCATTGTGATTTAGATAATAAGTAAAAGCAAAATTTCAGTATAATCAATGCAGATTAACTCCACTCTATATTAATATGGACAGGACCTAGTATGATTGCTTTCTGTATTGTCATTTAGGTAATATGTAAGAGTAAAATTTCAGTTCAAAGCCTTAAATAAAGCTTGCAGGATTTGATTCACATTAACCCATTAATCATCACCACCAGCCCTTTTACGTCCCCACTGCAGGGGCTCAGGCCTTCCTTATGGATGGTTAAGGAGGATGGGCCATGACCCTCCACGCTGGCCCAATGCGGATTGGAGGGTATTAACGACTGCAAATGCAGCCGGGACCAACGGCTTAACGTGCCTTCCGAAGCACGGAGTAGCTCGAGATAATAATTTTTTGGTCACCCATCCCGTGACCGACCCTTGCGAAAGTTGCTTAACGACAACGATCGCGGGCCGCGGCGCTTATCCACTACGCCACCGAGCTACTCCTAACCCATTAATACGAGAAGTTAAAATGAAAAATATATGAATGAATTTCAATCTATCAGTACTAATTGTAGTTGAAAACAACAATGTAATCATACTAGAAACCCATGCGTACAAACTGATACAAATGATAATAATAAAGTCGTATTATACGGATTGTGTTTAATTCGATGCGACATTATGTTGTCCAATATGGTGATAGGTTCAATGGGCTCACTCCGTTATTACCTGCTCACTTTAATTTTACTATTGTGGTCTAATACAATCACAGAATACGACATGGCATATGAATGACTGTATGTGCAATCATCAATAAATAATTCATTGCTTTAAAAATAAAGTGAAAACCTCTATGGTTAAAACTTTTTGTAGTGTTTTTTCTAATTTGGATCACATTTATAAAGAGATAACGTTTCTAACTTTGTTTGTTTGTTTTTAGAGGTTAACCCTCGGAAATACTGATCCGAATATGAAAATTATGACTGAGTAAAAAAAAAGAAATTCTATTTATTCCGCCAGTCGGATAATAGAAAAATATTAGAAGCGTATTTTTTTGCTTCAATTTAAACAAGAAATGGCTGAGATAATATTCATTGAAGTTGAGGGGCTCGCTACGTCACAGTTTTGTAGAAAATGTACAAAAGCGTGACGTCATGTAACATTTCAACTCGATGTATCGCTTCAATTTATTGATAAAGCAAAAAATAAAATATATGTATTTAATATTCTTCAATAATCTACCTGATGGACAAAACAAACAAAAATTAGTCGTCATCCCTTAGTTACATCACACGCGGGTGATATAGGATATGATTAACGTCGGTGATAAATCGGAAAACCTGCTAGTTCTTAAAATTTTGTTTCAGTGTTAACTGTGTTTTATTACTTTTGAAGGTTTTATTTCATTGAACCTCTTTGCATTATGCTCGACTTTTTTTTTTTACAGAATGCCAAAGGTTTCTTTCACTTGCATATAATAGGGATGGGTAAAAAAAGTTTCAGGACTAACGTCAGTCAAATAATAGACAAATATTAGATACGTTTTTTTTTGCTTCAATTTAACCAGAAATGACTTAGATAATAGGTCTTGAAGACGTCATGCGATATTTCAACTCAATTTATCGCAGTCTTTTATCGATAACGCAAAATATAACAAAAAACGTGTTTCATGTTCTTCAAAAATCTACCTAACAGACAGAGAAATTTGTCACCATCCCTATTTCAAGACCGACAGACAGACAAATGCGTTTAGCAAGACGTAATAATTGTAGCTTAAACATAGTTGTTGTAGGTAGTCATTGCCCTTAATATATCTACATTTAAACGCCTACAAGCTTATGTATTTAATACTTAATTAAGTTTCAATTGAACAATATGAATAAATAAAGCTAGATATTCAATAATTGCAAATGCTTCTCGTACGTATTCGAAGGTTGCTAATATGACCTCAAGTATAGATTGTCACGATTCATATTATCAGATGAAGTAGGTATACTAGTTTAAATTGTTGCGAATATCTACATTGATTAGCAAAGGTATATTAGCTGTTTACCCGCGTAAATTATAGACTGACGGTAAGTTGCACAAACGTCCGTTAAGGTTTAATGACGAGTTTAAGCTCTGAAAATTTGCATTGCCATTAAAAACAATTTTAATGGACGTTTACGGTACTGGCTGTATATTAACCAGTTGCACGAACGGAATGACGATTTTAAGCTCTAATGAATGTTCTAAATTGCTTACGACACTTGTGCAACTGTGTGTCACACAAATTTAAATATTCTGTACGTTATTGTTATCTACAATAACGTTTTTAAAAAAAAAATTAAAAAAAAAACATTTTTAATCTATACTTTTGACATCTGTTATTGTCAACAAAATTTTAAATTATTTATTTATTTAGAGTAAAGTTCTTAATATGTAATAGAATACATAAAATGGAATATTGAAATAACTTTCTATATCTATAATTGTATAGTTTTAATACATTTTGAAATAAGCGAATAAGTGAACCGATTGCGAATTGCCTGTAATTATGGAAAATTAAAAAAATACACATTTTCTTAATAATTCAGGAATTAATTTCAATATTCCATATTCGGTTACTTTTATTGCCAATCATTTTTTTGTAATATTCGTTGAAGACCGAAAAAGGTTCTAATTAAGTAGAAAACGGAAATATTGAGAGGACCGTGGTAAAAAACAAATTTTATTTTTCCAATAAACCTTATAACATTTTCCTATACAAACCGAGCCCAATGAAGTTCGCAGTCAGTTGTCTTAATACTCAATTATCAAAAAATCTCGTTTAGTAAGCTGTAACAGGAAAACCTTTTATAGCTGATGTTGGGTTTAATGTAGAGTAAAAAACATCTTGAATACAGTGATATAAAAGTAATAAGTTAATTATAGTGACAAAACAAAATAACAAACAGACCCGAAGTAGTTGAGTTTTTAAGTATTTTTCTTACAATATAAAAAAAAACAACAGGTGCAAACTCGTCGGCGTTAATGCTAAATGTAATTTGTTCCGGGTACGACTGGAAAAACTAGGTCTAAAATTGGGCTGTTTAAAGATGAATATGATATAGAAATACGTTAGGAAAGCATAATAATAGATTAAAGACCCCAGAGTACAGAGCCGCCTAAGATTGATTATTTTCTGATAGACAAATGGAATATTTGGCATTAGTTAAAACTCAGTTTGGATATGATTAGCCTATTTGGTAATTTGACTTTAGGGTCAATTTACAGATATCAGATAATAGAGGTTAAATATGGTAATGACAATAACATGATTTATGTAAATGTCATTACTTATGATAAAAAGCTGGTAAGTTTCGTTCGCTTGTTTTTCTTGTCAGCTAAAAGACGTCCTGAACAAGTGGTAGGGGAAAAAATTTTTTTGGACGATTCAAAGGTGCTTGTAATAGCCTACACGAATAAAGATATTTTCATATCATTTCATACCTATGAATGAATTTAAATTATTCAATAGTAATTGAAACGGAAAACAAAGACATACTCATAATCATATTAGAAGTCTATGCTTACAAATGATAATAATGAATTCGGATAGTAGGAATTACGATGAATAGTACAAATTGTGTTATAGTTAATTTATTAATCAGCTTTTTCAGAGATTAGCCGTAACAAGCAGACAGACAGACAAAAAATAAAAAAGTTGTTTTGTAATCACGATCGACCGGTTAAAAGTTTGGCAGATCGACGAGAGCAACGTATTTGACGATTTGCCTGATTCTTATTTTTTAGATAAATAATTACTAATTTAAATTAATTTTATTTGCTTATATACCCGGGTTGTTGCCCATCTCTGCTTACATAGTTACCCTACAAAATCGATTGGTCTGAGTATAGTCGGGAAAATCGTCAAACGATATGGCGGTTGATAAATGGCCAAATAAAGAAATGGCGGCATGTCGTGATATGCCCGGGAATATCTCAATCGGTCCAATTTTACGATTCGGTAGAAAGTTATTTTAATATTACAAACAAACATTCCAATTTTATTTGTTTGCAAGTATGGTATAGATTACGGTAGTATGGGAGCACTACGGTAATCTATACGGTACGGTAGGTTAATTTTTTTTAAAATAAAATATCTTATATCACCCGCATATTATCAAGCTTCCCGTAGCGGAAATAAATTTCATGATCGGTTCAGTATTTCCAAAGATTACGTCCTACAAACAGGTAAAGTTAGAAACTTAACATATTTATATGTATTAAAAGTATAAATTTCACCAGCCTTTTACTAAAACAATTAATTGAAATAAAAAGAAAACAATTTAATACATCAGATGGCTCGGCTGCAAGTGGACAGTGGCGTTGTCTTTCATCGCGTACATGCCATTCATCGCTGCGCAGTTTCATCCGAAACTTTACACGCTGGTGCCTGCTGGAATGATGGTCGGCTTCGGCGGTGGACCGCTCTGGTGTGCTAAGTGCACTTATTTGTCTGTTGTGGGTATACATAACGGCATACGTTATATTTGAAAAAGCTTACATTTCAAAATATTTAAAATACAAAGGATGTGTGTGAAGACTTTTGTTATTACTGTGGCTTACCACCTAACAATGTCATTGTAACACCATTTTTGATTATCAATTTTTGAAATTAACTTTTCTCTATTGTCTCAGTTGGGATAGTTGTGGATGCCAAACAGCGATAGTGCCACAATATGGTATTTGTATTGTATTATCATTGTAAACCCTTTTACGTCTCCACAGCAGGGGCTCAGGCCTTCGTTATGGATGGTTAAGGAAGAGGGGCTATGATGACCTATCACGCTGGCCCAATGCAGATTGGAGGGTATTATCGAATGCAAATGCAGCCGGGACCAACGGCTTAACGTGCCTCGCTAGAGATAATTTATTTTATCACCCATCCTGTGACCGACCCTTGGTAAAGTTGCTTAACAAAAATGATCGCGGGCCGCTCATTTGCCTTGCATTTCTGCGTAATACAAGAACTTTACTAAATAACTTAGGAGGCCAAAGTATGTTATAGAGTCTATAACATACTTTCTAATCTAACTAATTTTAATTCAAATTAGATTTTTTATTCAATTGAATGTTCCAGGTGGCAGAACCGTATGCAAAACTATCTGGCGTGTCTGTTGAAGTACTGGTGGTCCGTTTCTTTGGACTGTTTTTTATGTTCTATCAAATGGCACAGATTTGGGGTAACCTGATATCTTCATCCAGTAAGATATTATTATACGATATATTACTATATTAGATATTATGTTTTGATTTGATAATGTTATTTGACGAAGGTAATTTTCATTTTCATCACTCAGGGTTCTATTCCTGGTTAAATATAGAAAAATTGTCTGTTGTTGTGTTTTAGTACCTTCTTTATTAGAGATTTCTCTAATACAAAAGCGCTTCGAATGTATGCGATGATGTCTTATATTTATTTATTTGTCTAATATTAGTTAGAGTACTTGTTTATTATAAAGTCACTTTCTTTGAATACATTTATTAATTTTGCAAGAGTTTGGGGCGTTTAATTTATATTTTTACATACCTAATTTACGCTGGACCTGCTGTCTTTAGTGTGAAAGATATTTAATTAAATGTAACTGAGCAGATATGTATGAGGAGCTTGCCGAAAAATTTTGCATCTCGAGATGTTTCCGAAGGCACGTTAAACCATCGATCCCGGCTGCATCTGCTGTCGTTAACAACCACCAATCCGCATTGAGCTCGCTTGGTGGGTATGGCCCACTCTCCCTTTTCGATTAATTCGATTTCATCCATAGAGAAGGCCCGAGACCCAGAAGTAGGGATATCAATAGCTGTGTTAATAGACTGTTGATGCTGATGAGTAGATATATCGCCATTATGGACAGAAAGGTCTGACTAGAACTAATAGTTAAATTTTTACACCTACCTGTATTTCCCGATGTTTCAGCCAAGATTATTACAATTGTGTTAATACCCGATATTTAAAATGTATTTTTTTTGTCACGATTATTTTAAGGTTTTTATTTTTAGTTCAGATATGAAATGGCGCTAATGGCTTGGCCTTGTATAATATAATTTTCCAAAGACCCTTAAATTTCAATGTAAAGAATCATAATTTTGTTACTGCCTTATATTACATATGGTCATCCGATAGTTTTGGGACCACATGATTAGAATATTAATTCTTAATTATAAGAATGCGAAGGTCACGTTTTAAACGTATGCTTGTATGAATAGAAATATAACTTATTATACTTATACACAATAGCAAATAATTTTAAATAAATGCGTGACGATTTTTATAAATTATTTGTTATTTACTTAAGTATGTAAATTGGTTTGTAGACTTTAATGTTAAAAATCTTTAACTACAACAAACTATATTTTTGTTAATGTGTAAAATTCGGATGGAGATCATGCCTGGGTAAAAAAAAAAATTGTTTCCGCTAGTCAGATAAAAAAAAATAAGATACGCATTTTGTTTGCTTCAAGTTAACAAGAAATGACTTAGTTAAAAGGCATTAAAGATGAGGGAGGTTATTATGTCAGAATTAGGTAGAAAGTCTACAAAAGGCCTGACGTCATGTTTTCAACTCAATTAATATTTTTCGATATTCTACCTGATGGTGAAGAATTATTTTTATTCATCATCTTTATTCTAAACATTGGACTTGAAACCAACTTGTAATAGAATTAACATTCAGATATTTGTTTTAGTCCTGTCTTCCTCTTTGGGTGAAGAGTCTTATTCAAATATGACGTCACTGCTGAAAAGTCTGCCGATAAATGATAGCCTGCCATTAATAGATGTCGGAGCGTCCTGTGGTGTTAACTTTTGTAGCGGCAGCGCATCGCATGTAATTATTAATTAAGTTTTAATTTATTCTAGTAAAATCTGTTATATCGACGCTATTCTATTTTCTTACTATTTCTTTTTTCTAAATTTAAAGGACATTTAATTTTTGTGAAATGTTTGAGTGTTTGCATGTTTTTTGTGTATTTTTATTTTACTTTGTTCTTGTACCATTCGAATACAATTGGAAAAAAAAATCCTAATGAATTATAATAATAATATTCTAACTGGTTCCAGAGAAGTACGCACTTATTCACACTGTGTAGCATGGTCATTCAATACTTTGCTACTTTGGCTTCGCTCGTGATATCCTCAGGGACCCTTTAGTGGGATACAAAAGCCTATGTTATTAATTTAGGCTTAGAATTATCCGTATATCAAATTTTATTAAAATTTGTTTAGTAGTTTTTACGTAAGAAGAACAATAAACATATATCATCCACCTTCACAAAATTTCGTATTTATAATATAGGATTTAACAAAGAAGTATTCATTTTATGTGTGTAAAGCGGGGAATTTCCTAGATGCCCTCGGGCAAGTCTGTAGACATGCCCGATCTCATTTACTATACGACGGTCATGTTATATACCCGCCATAGTAGACTTGCCTCCGAGTAAGCTCATGTCTAGTGAATTCCTCGCATAAGTGTCTAGAGCGGGCTTTATGTTATTAACGCTTAATGCACAATGTCTAACAGAATTAAAAGTAGTTTGCTCCAACAGAATAAATTCTGGGTTTCTTGCTAATTCTTTTCAATGCAAGGTCTCCCGCCATAGATTTGCAAACTGCAAATCTAAGGCGTAGCTTTCGACATTCACAAGCGCTTGTAACAGTCTAGATTGAATAAATTGAATTTGAATTCGCCATTAATGTATCTGAAGTTCTCCAAGTAATGGTTTATGCTTTCTTTTCAGGAGAATGCAAATTTGGAACCGCCTTCTCCACTGAAGATTCAAGTTATTGCTGGCGTTTACTTGGCTTGTATGGCGTCTGCAGTTTTGCTGGTCGCATTTGGCGTTGATTCTCTTACGAGGTTATTCTGGTTTAATTTTTGTTTGATAAAATATAACAGGAAGTTGGAAAGTTGTTATTTAAATTTCTATTGGACATGTTAAATTAGGATAGGTGGACACCTGACGGAAAATCTGTCCACAGTAAGTACGCGATTGTGCTCAACTTTCCAGTGTGCAAGATTGAATTTCTTATATAAAAATTGCGAGTTGTTAATTTTATAAGAATACCCAACAACTGAGTATTACGGTGTTTATAAATTCCCGTCAATGTCATTATAAACAAATTTCACTCATGTTAAAATATTCGTATTTGTCTGTGCTGACGTTCTATGATACGTGACACATCTTCCGGCAGATGTGATGTATCCTAAATCATATAATAGTTTCTACGTCGATACAAAGTTTCATATCACTTTACCTTGAGTGGTGGGTATGAATTTGGGCGCTGGTATGATTTTGCACAAGATGCATTATTACGCTGGTTTGCCATCTCAATTGAATAAGAAAACAACTTTAGATAGGGATTTTAATGAATTTTTAAAAAGAACTGTCATAAAACATTATTTGAATGGTAATAAAGGTTTAGAGTAGGTAAGTACGATATAGAATGATTTTTTTAGGACTTTTCCAGATAGATGCAGCATGAGATTCACCTTTACACGATCACACAACACCTAGGGCAGTCTCTACTGCCTTGGTCATTGCCCCCTTTTGCCCATTTGACACTTAAAGGCAGTATAGGGCACGGTTTTTAAAATATTGCTATAAGGCAAAACTAATACCGTTAACAGCTGTATGTGTCAAAATGTACTTCCTCGTTACTTCTAAAATGACCAAAACCAGGTCATAATCTTAAAATGGTTAAAAACAGGTGATCTGAACTAGTTTACGCAGTCTTACATGCAGGCTTTCTTTGATTTATCATTAGATCTAAACATTATTATCTATTGTTATTTACTTTGTGTCAACCAGGTATACCGCAGGCAGGAAAACCACTTGCACTGGGAAGTCTGGTTTGCGGCTACTTGCGGTGACGCTGCGGCAACTGCGTCACAAGTATCAGTTGCTACTGCTGCCTGTCATCGGTTACATCGGCGCTGAGCAAGCATTTATGGCCGCTGATTTTACACAGGTTATCGTCTACTGCTTGGGGTGCAGGCATTTCGTATGCATGGAATCGAATTGAATAGGGAGAATGGGCCAAAACCCAGAGTAGATTTGTGGTTTATTGTTAAATCGTACCTAACAGTTTTCATTTTACATAAGCGATGGATTAAATAGTATTTTTTCCAGCCATCCTCCATTTTATAAATAAATAATTTGACTTTGAATACTAAAAATGAGGGAATTTTTGTCTATTTCTATCGTTTTGTTAGTTCTGAAAAGAAGAAAACCTATGGTGAAGTTGCACTGCCAACTATTTTTGTTATTTTACGTAGTATGTTTCTGGGTCCAAATGATAAGTATAAGATCAAGGTTATCTTGATTGCCAGCAAACAATGCATAACCATAGTCCTGAATAAATTATGACATGTCACTAACCCTGACCCTGGGAATAGGTCCCACAGTCTTTAGAAATTTTTGAATTCATCATCTTTACATTATAATTGTCCTACACTGAAAAAAATAATTTCTTACTGTTCACCTTTTTTGCACAGTTAAAATTTGTTCATTTAGTATAACGTAAATAACGGTAAGTATTATCGATTTCGGACAGTTGAAATGAATACATCAAAACAGTTGAAGCTTGAACTGTTATTTTAACTGACCAATCATTGCCAGCAACTGAAAACCACAGTGACTACTACGGTTTACTTGTAAGTTTTTATCGAAAGTTGGTTTTACTGATGAATCGATTATTTCTACCTCTGAAACATTAAACGAAACAGTAGCACTAACTAACACTAACAATGTCTTAAACGTTTTGCCGCACCCAATGCCAAAACGTTAGTTTTAATGATTAGATAAAGTTCTTTATACTATTACAACATTAAGCGAACATTAAAACTCACTGACACTGACAATTACTCAAACGTTTTACCGCACACAACACCAAAATGTTAGTTATATTGACTAGAAGCAGTTCTTTCTAATGTTACAACATTAAACGAAACAATAGTACTCACTGGAACTGACAGTTACTTGAACGTTTTACCGCACACAACACCAAACAGTTAGTTATATTGATTAGAAACAGTTCTTTCTAATGTTACAACATTAAACGAAACAATAGTACTCACTGGAACTGACAGTTACTTGAACGTTTTACCGCACACAACACCAAACAGTTAGTTATATTGATTAGAAACAGTTCTTTCTAATGTTACAACATTAAACGAAACAGTAGTACTTACTGGAACTGATAGTTACTTGAACGTTTTACCGCACACAACACCAAACAGTTAGTTATATTGATTAGAAACAGTTCTTTCTAATTTTACAACATTAAACGAAACAGTAGTACTCACTGGAACTGACAGTTACTTGAACGTTTTACCGCACACAACACCAAACAGTTAGTTATATTGATTAGAAACAGTTCTTTCTAATTTTACAACATTAAACGAAACAGTAGTACTCACTGGAACTGACAGTTACTTGAACGTTTTACCGCACACAACACCAAACAGTTAGTTATATTGATTAGAAACAGTTCTTTCTAATTTTACAACATTAAACGAAACAGTAGTACTTACTGGAACTGACAGTTACTTGAACGTTTTACCGCATACAACACCAAACAGTTAGTTATATTGATTAGAAACAGTTCTTTCTAATTTTACAACATTAAACGAAACAGTAGTACTCACTGGAACTGACAGTTACTTGAACGTTTTACCGCACACAACACCAAACAGTTAGTTATATTGATTAGAAACAGTTCTTTCTAATGTTACAACATTAAACGAAACAATAGTACTCACTGGAACTGACAGTTACTTGAACGTTTTACCGCATACAACACCAAACAGTTAGTTATATTGATTAGAAACAGTTCTTTCTAATTTTACAACATTAAACGAAACAGTAGTACTTACTGGAACTGACAGTTACTTGAACGTTTTACCGCACACAACACCAAACAGTTAGTTATATTGATTAGAAACAGTTCTTTCTAATTTTACAACATTAAACGAAACAGTAGTACTCACTGGAACTGACAGTTACTTGAACGTTTTACCGCACACAACACCAAACAGTTAGTTATATTGATTAGAAACAGTTCTTTCTAATGTTACAACATTAAACGAAACAGTAGTACTCACTGGAACTGACAGTTACTTGAACGTTTTACCGCATACAACACCAAACAGTTAGTTATATTGATTAGAAACACTTCTTTCTAATGTTACAACATTATTTGCCACAATTACTACCAAAATGTTACCTCTATTGATAAGAACTAATTCTTTGTAATGTGTTTTCAATTCCATAAAAAAATTCTAAATCACCATGCGATTGTCATCAGGGTGATTAAAATAGAAAAATATGGCGTCATATTATTTCAAACCGATGACGTGACATATTCCTGTCTCTTTTTGGCACGTGGCGATTTACGTTATGTTAGAGCAGTCAAGCCAGTGCTTTAAAGTTTTATTTATTGTTACTTCTATTATACACTATCTTCTTTTTAGTTTGTGCTATGTAGGTAAGTACCTGTTCGTTCTTCGCAATTTTAAAATACTAAAACTTAGGGGTAACAACAGTTTTGCAAACGTTTGTCAGATGTTACTCGGGACTGCTTGACGTCTAGTACGAGAGCGGACGACAAAAATAAAATCTCTTCGGGTACTACGACGGGACCGGTATGGGGTGATAATTTCATCGGGGACCTTCAGCGTAACCTGAGCAAAAACGTTTTTGTATAAAAGGTAAAATAAGGGTAATATTTTTTTGTAATGGACCCAATAACGCCAGTGCCGGTCTATATTAATAAAAGTGGCCAAGTGCGAGTCGGACTCGCACTTAAAAGGTTCCGTAGAAGCAAGTATATCTCAGGGACATAATATATTAAATAATAAACGTACCGATTAACTACAATTAGCCAAAATAACATTTTTTCGCCAGCAATAAATAACTTTGTTTTTCAGTGTTTGTATGAATAACAAAGTTATAATTTGCGGTTTCCGAAAAAGTGCTATATCTCAAAAACTTCTGATTGTATCTCGTTTAAACCAATTTTCGTTGAAAGTTTTTATTAAAATCTATAACATATTTCTTTTTTTTTGAGTTTTCATTCAAAGTTAGAGGTTGGGGACACAATTTGGCAATTTGAAAGTGTACATAATTATCTTTGAAACGATTGACTTTGAAAGAAATGGTTTTTGAACCTCAATGGCATTTTTGAAGACCTATTTATAGACATCCACTCATATAGGATTCATGATTTTTTTAAAAATTTCAATTCCATGTATGGGGGCCCCCCTCTAATATTTTTTTTTTTATTTTTGTATTAAAATCGTAAAGCAGTTTACAGAATACATACATCTACCTACTAAATTTCAATTGTGTAGTCCTAATATAGTTTCGGAATAAAGTGTCTGTGACACACGGACTGACAGACAGACATGACGAATCTATAAGGGTTCCATTTTTTGCCATTTGGCTGGGGAACCCAAAAATAGTGTTATATTAAGACAGAACTCATAATATGTATAATCATGTTATCTCAATAGGTCCAAGCCTCAGAAATACTTAGTTCAGTAGGCAACCATGTTTTTTTATGAATCAGGTTGCTGGAGTAATCTCGTGGTACAACTTTCATCGTAGTAACTACCCCATGAGGTAAAGATCATTTTTCCGGACCCTTAAATAAGAATGGCCGCAAACCTGCCAAGACAAGACGGGGCAACCTAGTAGGTACCTATACCTATTTGTGTGCTCTTTGACGCCCTCTATTTTACTCGTGTGCCAGGTCTCGCGCTGGTACCGGATAACGGAAATTTCAACAAAAAGTTTCCCTAATTTTACCTTCTTTCTTTCTACACAAAAAATGTATCAGGTTTGGCAAGGTATTTTTCTTCGTCTATGAAGGTAACCTATTTGATTTAGAAGGTCCTCGATAAATTGCTACCACATATTATGAGTCCGTTGTCGTGGTATCGTCATCGTGTTTGATTTTAGTCGTCCGTACTCACGCTATAACTAAAACAGTAAATTCTACCTATCGATACAGTTAGCATGATGTGACGTCATCATCACAACACAGTCAATTTTAATGGTCGGATAGTTACTTCTACCGATCGAACAGTGACAACTCCGGCGCGGACGCGATATTTCCTGCTCGCTGCACGCTGGAACATGCTCGAACCTAGTGATGGACCAATTCGGTTTGTTTACAACTCGACTCGAGTCAACCCGTTTCAATTTTCTCTTAACTCGGTTTCAACTAGAGTTAGCCTACCCATGTTGGTGGATACATGTGACACCAATTTTTCTTCTTTTGGCTTGCTTAGATATGTAAATATACCGTTTAATGATCAAGTCATTTTCTGGTATTATTCAATAACTTATTTTATTTTTGTATTTTATTTTTAATTGATAAATTACATCACTTTTTACATATAATTCAACCGTTAACATACATACATATAAAGTATTACGTCTTTATCCCTTACGGGGCCCGGTAAGGGATAAAGACGTAATACTATGAATGTACAGTCAGCTACACTGCTAAGTATACGTTAAAGACGGTCCTGAGAGAAATTCTCATTGATTGAAAGGGATCGATATATGTTGATCGGTATCAAAATAGTCATGAGCTTTCTAGGTAAAAAAAAAAATATTCAGTCGTGTTGCAATTCTTCTGTATTACCATAGATTTCAATCATGATGATATTCACTCAGCATTATATTTCCATTTTTATTTTTTGACATATATTCTAAATAAAAACTGCTTGAATTATTAAGAATGCAAAATTTTAAAAACAAAAATATTTTTGTCAAAGAGTAAAAGCTTGTTGTCAAATCTATCTACAGATCTCATAAAATAATTTTCAAAATCTGCAATAAATTATAATACAATTAAATAATTAAAGTCTTATCCTTAATTTGATTAAAATGCCTACATGAAACACACCTGCACTGTAGAAAGACACCATTATTTTCAAATACTTAATGAGGATGTCGAAAACTACGATTTAAATGACCACGTAAATATTACCTTCTTTTTTTTTTAAATTTCTTTTTGCGACTGGATGACAGTGTCTCAAACCACTGATTTCTTGACATTGGCTCAAAATTAAATACCACTAAAACACACACTCGACAAATCACGAAATAAAATCAGCTTATAACAACCGAACTTTAATACCTATATGTATAACCAAACATTAAAAAACCAACAAAAGTAAACAATAAAATCTAAAAATTCGAGTTGACCCGAAACAACTGCAACTCGTGTCAACTCGAATTGGAATTTGAACTCGAGTTGGCGCATCACTACTCGAAAGCACGCACGCACTTCATTATTCATCTCCACTGTCAGTCGAGTCGGCGTCGGCCACATTACCCTTTGGCGTCGGCGCTTGCAGCGAGCAGTGGGTGGATTGTGCGCATTCACAAAACATCATGTCCGACTCAGATACGATTTGTACACAAGACTTGAGGGAACTACTAACGGAGTGGGGCCTGACGAAATATATCGATAAGTTTATTGGTAAGTACATTATTTATGTAGAACTTTCCTATTTAAAATATAATTGTGGTAGTACCTACTGTAGGTACCTCTATAAGTTTTTTGTATTTCAGAAATGAACAATTTTATTATTATGCAGTGAAAAGCTACATGAATTGAGCTGACCTTACTACCTGTATTTTTGGCAGAGTTTTGACGGTAATTTCGTGCTTGTGCATGTGTGTGTTGTGATCTTTGTGGTGGTACCTATTCAGCTTGAGTAAGGTAGATTGCTCCATATAGCCTTTGGTTTGGGTTACGAACTAACAAGCTAACCTTGGAACTTACGCAAAAATATTTGTTTTTACTGAACGAAAAGGTTCTTGCTACAGATTTAACATTTAACTAAACTGTTTTACCTTCAATACGATATTTACAATAGCGATTAGCTTCTGGCACTTCGCCGGCCGCTGCCGCGGCACGCTCGCTTTGCTCGTTCGGCTCGTGCTTTATTTTTCATACACTAACCTAACCTAAACTAATTTTAACCTAATATTCGTTTTTGTCACTGACTTGTCTCTATATATGAATGTAAATCCTTTAATGACGTAAATTCAGTCATTGTGGTGTTTTTGTATTATATCATACAGCAAAAATAACGCTAATCAATCCGGGAACCAAAACAATACACGCTAAATTACTCGACTTGGGCTTGTCCGGGTTTTTTGTTGTATGGAATCAATATCCAAAGATGACTAAATGTTGTTGATTACCTAATTATCTTTATAAAAAAGTTTAATATATTATTTTGTTTCTTTACACTTTTTATTATTTTTTGTTGATTGAGGTCATGTCTAAGAAAAAAGTCCAAAAATTGATACTAAGGTCCTATGAACATTTTCTTAATAAATATTACTATTATTATATGATAATAGTGTTTTGTTAAAAGATAGAAAGACATTATTTTGTATATAAAATAATATAAGTTATTCATAATTTTGGCTTTTTATAACATCAAAATTATGGTATGTTACTAATACTGAGACTTATTTTCACACCACTAGTTAAAGGTTAACCTACCAAAATGACTCTGGCTTACCTTTCACTTACCTAGTTACATAAACATTTTATTTTTCAGAAAACGAAGTTGACATAATTGCATTGCCATTACTAGATGATAAACAAATAGAAGCCTTGATTCCTAGCATCGGCCCACAAGCTAAGTTCAAAAAGGCAATAGCAGACTGGAAAGCAGGAAAAGAAGAAGACCATGCTAAAACAGCAAACAACGATGAAGCTATCTGCAAATTATAAGACATATATGGCAGCTCTGTAGGAGGACTCGCACCGAGTGAAAATTCCCCAATAACCTCTCCAGTGTCCACACCTACATCGAGTAGATCTTCTTTGTGCTCCCTTGACATATACTCAAATGCAAAATTGGTGAGTATGGCACCCTTAAGAAAAACATTGAGAAAAACTTTGGTCAAGGAAATTGGTGCACAAATATTAAAACATGATCCCAAATTACCTGTAACAAATGACGTTTATTCACATTGGATTCAACAAATTAGTAAGTTTCAGATGTAATACAAACCCCTTCCCGAACTCAAATCGCCCGTAAATTATTTTTCCTATTATATTTGTTATATTACATTCCTTTTGCAATGGGTTTCATCCTGTTACAATTTTTTTTTGTATTTTTGATTTTCAGAGCTATCTGCACTGGTTTAATAATGTATGAAAAAAATGTATAATTATTAATAATTTTGAGGGCCAAAAAATCAACCAGAAAATAATGTTATACAATTACTTAGGATAGAATTACAATTCCTATAATTCATCCTTTTTATCTGTACGCCTAAGGTTACTAGGCTACAGCCAACAGGTATTATAATTTACTACTTACATTTTGTCGGATAGTCCTCATTTGCAGGCATCAGTTAGTATGTAAAGGCGTTAATAGCTGCCAACTAGTGCCTCACCAAAATGGCCGTGTTTGGCACGTTGGACAATAATTGTAATAAAAGCGAACAATATTTTATTTAATAAAATATTTACGTCATAATAAGCTGTAAAACTAAATAAAATCTACTTGTTTACAGATTTTCGATATATTGTTTTATCTTTGAGATATGATTTTTTTGTGATGGCGGCGCTAGTTGGCGGCTATTAACGCCTATTTGCTCTCGTTAAGTGAGGAATTTCAACATTTACAAAAAAATTTTTTCAGAAATAACTTCAACTAATTTTTGTTCGATTATGTTAACATTTTAGATAATGTGAGAATACGCTTCAGATTTTGAAGGTTATGTGAATCTTTAAGTTTATCAAATAAAAAATATGTGCACTGCCGAAATTAAGGTTTTATTTATTGTTCACGCTTTGTGCAGGTATTTAACTTTCAGCGATGCAGTACTCAATACGGTTGAAGAACTGTAATAACTACTTATACAACGGTAGCTGGTACTGTTGGTTGAACAGTACCTTCTATTGGATAAGTAGAAGTTGCTATTTCTCAGCTGTAGAAATAACATATCCGCGCAGTACCCACTGCTGGCGAGAAACAGTAATTGTTATACTGTTCCTCATAGTAGCAGTATCTGGCAGTTCAGAAGCTACGTTGTGAATTCCAACGCCACTTACTAAAATATTCGCTATTAATACAATTTATCAAAATCTCGTTGTACCTATAAAATTTTTGTGTTTGTGCTATTTTTATAGAGATTCATTTTTAAGAAAATTCAACGGAAACACAATAATCGTGTGCATTTAGATTTTGGATATATTGTGTTTACAGCGAATAATATTTTGGTAAGTGGCGCTGGGGCTCATAACTGCCAGATACTACTACTATGAGGAACAGTAGCAATTACTGTTTCTCATCAGTAGTGGGTACTGCGCGGATAGGTACAGTTGAGAAACAGTAACTCATACTTATCCAACAGTAGTAGGTACTGTTCAACAAACAATACCAGCTACTGTTGTATTAGTAGTTACTACTGTTTCTCAACAGTATTGGGTACTGCGTGAAAGGGTTATTAATACTATTGAAAACAGTTCCAGCTACTGTTTTCAATATTAGTAATAACCTATTCATACAGTACCCCTTACTTTAGAGAACCATTAGAAACTACTTCTACAACAGTAGCTGAGAATGTTCTTAACAGTTGCAATAACCTATTCATTCAGTACCCCTTACTTTAGAGAACCAGTAGTAACTACTTCTACAACAGTAGCTGGCAATGTTCTCAACAGTTGCAATAACCTATTCATTCAGTACCCCTTACTTTAGAGAACCAGTAGTAACTACTTCTACAACAGTGGCTGGCAATGTTCTCAACAGTTGCAATAACCTATTCATTCAGTACCCCTTACTTTAGAGAACCAGTAGTAACTACTTCTACAACAGTGGCTGGCAATGTTCTCAACAGTTGCAAAAACCTATTCATTCAGTACCCCTTACTTTAGAGAACCAGTAGTAACTACTTCTACAACAGTAGCTGGCAATGTTCTCAACAGTTGCAATAACCTATTCATTCAGTACCCCTGACTTTAGAGAACCAGTAGTAACTACTTCTACAACAGTAGCTGGGAATGTTCTCAACAGTTGCAATAACCTTTTCATACAGTACCCCTTACTATAGTAAAACAGTAGTAACTACTTATACAACAGTAGGTGGCAATGTTTTAAGAAGTAATAACTACTTTTTCACACAGTACCACTTACTTGAGAGAAACTGTAATAACTACTTTAAAAACGGTAGCGGGCAGTTTTCAACAGTTATAATAATGTTTGCATACAGTAATTGCTAATAAGAAGACGCAGTTGTAACTACTCACAAAACAGTAGCAGCACTGTTGCTAAACAGTAAAAGTCACTGCTTACCAATCGATAAGAGCTACTGATTCCTTTTACTGTTTCCTCTTACTGATGTTTTTTACTGTTTCCACTTACTGTTTTATTTTACTGTTTCCACTTACTGTTTTATTTTACTGTTTCCACTTACTGTTTTATTTTACTGTTTCCACTTACTGTTTTATTTTACTGTTTCCACTTACTGTTTCACTTTACCGATCGAATTCGCTGAAACAGTTAAGGGTACTCAGTTAAATTAACCGTTATTACCTTACTGTTTTCATTAGGTTAAAACAACTACTTGATGCAGTTCGCTCCATTTTAACTGCGCAAATCAATAAACTATAACGAAATTTCGGTATATTTTGCCGATTTTTTTTTTCAGTGTATTTGAGGTCAAATTTTGGCTGGTGTTGAAATAGTATTTATAGATTCTAAATCCCCTACTTTTAAATTTAGATATTACCTAAATCTATGATCGTTCAATGAAATATTTAACTGATATTGAGTACTTATTTTGCCAAAAGAACATTAATAAATTTGTAGAGAATAATAATTTTTAGTTTAAGGGAATGATTGTGGATAATTTTCTTGCAGGCGTTTGTAGGCTGCGCGTATGGTATCAGCAATATCGGCTACGTGATGATTTGCTTTGGTGTTTTCAATGCGATAGCCGCTTCGTTCGCAGGAGCCATCGTCAAAGTCACGGGACGATTCCCAGTCATGGTTACCGCATTGGTAAGTATGTGGGAGTGCTAACTCTACCACATTTACTTGTATAATTTTAAATCTTAGTAACAAACCTTTACGCTGAATGTAATTAAATCACACTCCCAAAAATTAGTAACGTATTGGCGCGAGACAATATTAAATTATAGCTTTTACGTATCTCCTATACGTAATGTATTCAGAGAGAATTAAGTTAAGACCTTAAATATAAAAATTTCATTGTTTTTTTGGGGTGTTTCAGGAATGACGATAGTAAAGAAATTTAACAATGTCAATGTAGACATGAATCTTGCTATTTGTACAAATAGTTTTGTGTAGAAACATAAAATTATAAAATTTCATTTCGTTTTTACCTAGGCCTTCGATTTACTATTCTGTACCACATCAATGCTAGGGCCCTCATCATATAAGGTTTGGTTGTAGTATTCCAGTATGAGGGGCAATTAATTCTGTTGCACTTAAAGAGTAAATTTAGGATACACCTGTCAAACTGCAATTGTTAGAATAACGAAAAAAACATAAATAAAATTATTATTTAATAGTATTTTGGATTGATTGATATGATTACATATGACCACGGGACAATATTAAAACGAACCCAACTTGAAGTGAGGATTTTTTTTTTGTTTGGAGAATAATATAACAGAATTGGTACTACTAACTATTTTTTGATAGAATTTTAAATGTTTGGTAAGATTGCAGTTTCTTTGCAGTTGTTGAATCTTTGTTTGCTGTCGGCGTTGCTGGTGTGGAGACCGGATCCTCAGCAGTGGTTGATATTCTACGCTCTGGCCGCTGTCTGGGGCACAGCAGATGCAGTGTGGCTCGTACAAGTTAATGGTATCCATATCTTTTTCATAAATTTTGCATTTGTCTTGTTCAAGAAATAATTCAAGATAGTTTTCAGGCACGGTTGACTCGATCAAGATATTCTACAAGATAAATATACATTTTTGGCTAAGCTAAATCTAGGAAATATACATAGCTAAATAAATAAATAGGTAACTGTAAATTTTCTATATATACTTCATAAATTTATGTTATATTATTGAAATGAATCTTCACCGCTTAAGTTAAGTTTGGGTTACAACATTACGTAGTTTAATACAACTTATTCCAATTAATCGGTTGTGTCAGAAGGGATCTCAGTACTTTCCATATACTCCGTATAGCTAAGTAAGCTACTTGGCATCGCATTCGCATAGAAAAGGCACTTATTAATTTGTAGAATTATAGATAAGGTATGTTGTTGTAGTTATTACACCAGTAATCAGAATCAGGGAATGTCTGAGTCACAGAGGGACTATAATTTATATTACAATTCTTGTTATCATTCTTCATATATTTACATTTTTGTTGTATTGATAGCGTTGTCTGGAATACTGTTTCCGGGAGATGAAGAGGCAGCGTATTCCAACTTTAGATTGTGGGAGGCCACTGGTAGTGATTTTTCCTACGCTACAGCACCTTACCTCTGCGTTAAGACCAGGTAATATTATCTTAAAGATGAGGGGAAAACTTTAATTTAGAATATTTATCATGTAACAGACTACGGTTTGATAAGAATTGTCAATGGATTTCATTGTTTTATATTTTTTTGTACCGTGAGTGGTCTCGATGTCTCTGACTAGAATCCCAGCTGGCAGTTGTATCGTGTAACTCGAATTTGATTGGCATTGGATTTACACATTTACACAGTGTATTGAATGATACATAATTCGTTGAAGAAATCGATATCAATGCATATGCAGTTCCTTCTATTGTATTTAATGTTAAACGCATTCCGTTAATCCCATGCCAATCTAATCGAATCTAATTAAGTTAAGCGGTAGGGAAACGGTTCAATATGGAAACATAACTTTTATATTATCTCGGCACTTTCTAGTTTGAGGTTTCATTATACAAAGGCATTAGGTATTCAGGATATAAGTAATATATGTAATAGTTATTCTATTATTTAGATATTGACTATGACTGTTTTGAAATCTAGATTACAATATTTTTTACCCTTCTTAGTACAAAGCTAAGAATGTGTCCAAGCAGTCATCCAAAGGTCTTTAACTTCTTTCCGCATTAATTGAGGAAATTTTATATTAATATTGTTGAATTTACAGACTGATGGTGCTTCTGGGACTCTTGTTAGTTGGTTTCACCGGATATTCCACAATAGAGCTGATGGAGTACCGCGCGAAGAAGGCACATCATCTCGAGAGAAACTTTGAACTTGTAGAAGATAAGAACGAGCAATAATAATCATTGTGATTGATTAATAACATTATTACAGATTATTGTTTATTATATAAATAGAAAATACTAGTGAATGATTTTTTGTCTCAGTCGCATTGCCACTGCGAGCATATAAATCATAATAGATATAAAGTCAAGAGTTTTAAACTCTGTGGAATCCATGGATTCAATGTCTAGGACTTTCTGTGTACACTACTATTATAAAGAGGTAACGTTTCTAACTTTGTTTGTTTGTTTGTAGTTGGTAATCTTCGGAAATATTAGGCTAATCATGACAATTCCTTCACCTGCGGAAAGCTACATCATTCGCTGGTAGTATAAGAAATAATTTAAGAGGGCATCGCGCGAGGAAGTCGCGGTCTAACAGCTGTATTATAAGAGAGTAAAACAGAAGAGTTTCTTGATCTCCCTTACCAGAAGCGTGGGAGAAAAACAGTGAGACCAATCATGTCGGTTTCAAGGTCGTAATCTCTGAGGTCTCTGGTTTAACTCCCGTTTGGGTCAATGTAACATTTCAATATTGTCGCGGGTCTCTGTGTTGTGGTCCATTCGTTTACAATACAAGAGCTTTAGTAATTTTAGTTACAGATTTGAGCAGCGTATTTGATGTAAGATGAAATATATTGATGTAAGATGACGTAATTGATGACAAATGAGTTATCTTTTTTCTTTTCTCACTGACTACATAAAATGTAGGAAGATTTATTATATAGCTTTAAGTTCACATAGCTTTAAATTAACGGAACACAACTGGGACTTAAGTACAAAATAATATTACTAACTACTTTTTATTATTTTTTTATTTTCTTGCTGAATCGATAATATTCATAAAAATTACATGAATAGTTATATTATTGCAAAAGAAATTCAATAGAGGCATAATCACTACATAGTATAAAACAGAGTCGCTTTCTCTATCCCTATATCCTTAAATCATTAAAACTACGCAACGGATTTTGTAGCAGTTTTATTCATAGATAGGGTGATTCAAAAGGAAGGTTTTTATGTATAATACAAGACCACGCGGACTAAGCCGCTGGCGGAAAGCTATTATAGAACTAAAAATTGAAACATTATCAATGTTAAGTGTATTTAGAATCTGGACTAAAGGATAACTGAATAAAAAAACCAATAATAGTTTCAATAAAATCGTTGTTTTTATTCTCTCCACATAAATACTTAAAAACACGGACACAACTCAATCGAATAGAAACTTTATTAACGGGGTTCGTATTTTTAAAACCGATTTTTGATATATAGTGTATAACGTCATTGTGCTCTGTCTATCAGTATGACATTAGAATTACTTAAGTTAGAGCAGGACAAATGACACAGTCCACTATATATCGAATTTCGATTTTAAAAGTACAGTATCAGCTAAACAATCATTTATCTAAGTACATTTGCAAGGCTATTAACAAAGTGACTAAAACTTCATCATATACAGACATTATTAACTATAATCCTATATTTATATATAAAAAAATAAAACACCTCACGCGGGGTGAAATTAAAAAAAAAACAATTGTAGCGGTTTAGCAAAATTGTGATATTTTACGAGACAAACAATTGAGCTTTTGTTATTTTATTTAGAAATCATAGAGAAAATTAAGGTGTGAGTCAATGAGTTTTTAATCCACTTTGTTTTACTATGTCTATGATAAATGTTTTTTTTTTAAATTTAATGTGATTAGATAAAAACAGAAATTATTGTTATTTTATGGTATACGACTTTTGTTTAGTGGATCTTTTTAAATTCACAACAATGAAATTTATAAGATTATTTTAGATCTGAGGAATCCATTATAATAAATGTAGGAGCGTGGTGTGACACAGTTCTTTTAGACTGCACAATACTTTGTCAATAATTTTCTTCTTCTCGAGTCATACAACGATTCTACGTTTATTAGGCAATGTCGTTGGAAGTTATAACAATTTCTTTTATCGTAAAAAATATCCTTACACATTGACCACATTAGTTCAACTGTTAAAACATATATGTCGCATACAAAATATTATTTGTCACTTACATTTATCTATATATATATAACATTTACAAGTTCGTAAGTCACTGGTCCATAAATTACCATTTAAGTTAACAAACAAGCAGATTTAAATAGTATATCGAAACGCCATTAGAATTCTTGACGTCGTTATAATCTAAACCACATTTTAAAGCGTCAAACCGTAATACTTTCGAAAAATGTATTATTATTATTTGTAACAAGATGATTATCTCTAGAATATTTCTCAAGGAAGACAGGAAAGGCACTGAATGACATCGACTATATACACTTCGACAGTAGCACCTTATTTATAGATATATCTTATGGTTTGGGTGATAACGTTTAAAATATCTACTTATAATTTTTCGTATTAATCTTTTTTTACCATTAAACTATTTTGGCAATTAAGGAGATTACCACAGGTAAAAATAGTTCTTTACAAAAGTTGTATTTCAGTATATTATATAAAAATATTTATAGCAAAAAGGTTCTTAAAAAAGGTATGATCCTGGGATTTAGTCGTTATAATTATTTACAGAGTACTATGCGTAAAAATGTGAAGACTTCGTATAATTTATACAAAAAATATCTTAGTCATTAAATTTTATAATATATGATGTTACAACAATATCGCTGTAAAATTATGAGCTTTATTCAGGTGTGGTGTATAAATAAACGCTAAATTATTAGCAGCATATAGTATATAACTACATATTATGTATATACAGTACATAACTTTGTGACCCTGTATTTTATGTAGACGTAAGTAGCCTCAAACTTGTATATAATAGAGATTAATACATTGTTTTTATATACAAATAAATTCTAAATTTAGTAACAACATTTACATGTCATCTCAGGGTCCTTTAGCACCGATAGTTTTGTCAATTAGTTTTCTTTTTAGGATTATTTTTTATGACAAATATTATAAGAAAATATACATTTCAATGTATAAATACTCGCGTAACTTACGATACTTAAATACTAACACTGTGTTTTAGACAAGCACCGTCTTTTAAAACTTACAAAAACAAACCTCATTTTAACTTCAACAGTTTTGGACGGCAATATAATATTATACGTGTTATATACAAAAAAAAAAACAATTGAAAATGTCTAAAATATTTATTTCTAAAACTCTAAATAGTAACTAAATGCAGAAATCTATAACAGGAAGACTTTACGTGTACGAGATGTTTGACTAAATTTACTAAAATTATTATGATTGTTATTAAAGTAATTACATCATTAGAATGCTGCCTCGATTGGGAGATACACAACCAGTATACAGCTTTATTTAAGCATGTAAATGTAGAAAAATACGCTTCATTTAGTAGATAATGCGTAAGTTTAATACATTTAAAATTATTCTCTTTATCATATATTTTTTGATGTATGATTTTCATTGCTTTGAATTCCAAGTGTATATTGTGTCATGCTGCGTTCCTATTTCACAGACATTACGAGTTGAAACGGTTCAAAATGGTTGTATTAATAAAACATCGTATCATCTGTGTTAAAGAAAAGCATCAGTGAAGCAAAACCGTAATAGATTTATACAATGAAGTTTTTAATCTAAAAATATAAGTAAAAAATATTCTAACTGGGACTGGTTGTGTTGCTCCTCGGTTCAGATTTGAGGGCAGTGCCGTTTATCCGCGTTCCTGGTACAGGGGTGGCGGGGGCTGGATTGAGGGCTTGACAGTGAGCACAGGGCTCTAGGCGTCTCGATAGCACAGCTTTGAGTTTTAACGCCGGCCCTAACTTCATTTGCAACATCCCTGTTAAGTGTTCTTCAGTGAGTAGCGGTAACCCTGCACCGTCGATTCTCTGCTCCCGGAAATTCTGTAAAGAAATTACCATTATTATTAAAGGAGAATTTATAAATTTATACATTTTAGAAAAGACGTATAACTTTAGATACGATACGAATATAGTGGTAACAATTAAAAAAAATATAAAATAGAAAGGGTATCAAAGAATTCTCGCTGCGTTTTCGCCGGTTATTTTCTGTTTTGGATTTTTCCATCATTTGTTAGTTACCTAGACTATATAAATCTGAGCTAAGACTTTAGTTCATCGATTTACCACCGAAACTGATTAAAATCACATCTCGCTGCTTTTTTTAGTGATAGAATGTGTCCATCATTAATACAAACGTTTCTCTTACCAATAGGAATATTTAAAAATAACATTTCCAATTCTTAAGAAATGTTTTAGTTATTTATGCAAAAAATTAAAATGCTATGTTAAAACGTCTACTAAGAGATGGTAAGGCTTTAAATTATTTATCGCAAGCGAACTGGTAATGAACCTTTGATTGTTACAGCCTCTAGGTTTAAGAGTTTATTAAAGAAGCTTATGCCGGCGCGAGCGCACCTGTCGCGATGTCATGTTGACGGCGTAGTGCGGTCAAATAATCTACATATTTTTATACTTTCGCTTGCGACTTCTATTTCTTTATCTATGTGGATGTTCTGAATTTGTAGATAATATTTGTAATTAGTAGGAGAATTATACGTGGTAATGTGACATCTAAGATTTTCAAGTAATTGTACTAATTATTCTAAACAGATTTTCAATAATTCAAAGAGATTAAATAATGATATATGAAAATTATTTAGAAAAAAATATTGTTTTAAATATATTTAGTGTTTGTCAAATTTACAAAAATGTGATAATGAGTCAAATGAGTTACGTCCGTACAGTATGAGAAAAAAAAGATGATTAAATAAATATAAAAATAAAACCCAAGTAGGTAATTTAATTTGTCAAAATCGACGTTTTAATTTAACTTGATATTGTGACAGTCGCTACAAATCTTTATTCATCGAAAGAAATCACAATAGACATTATATTTTTTCTATTTTATTGCAAAGGGGATTACAATTGAAAGCATCAAGACGATTCGCGCTGAGTCTATCAGCGTCCAGCGACCTGTCATCTCCGCGGGAACGTTGACAAAAAGCGCGCCGCCTACGTGACGTCCTGCCCCCGCCACCGGACCTCACCGACACCCCCGCGCTCCTCTAAGCCCGACCACTTTTTACACCGCGACATTTGCCCGGAGTTCGATCCGTGTCATGCGACGTATTCCTTTTTTAAATTGCGCTGGCGCTCGATTATTTTATTTTTTAATTTTATAAGGCTTCGAGCAGTCCGTTGCGGTAAGAACCGATACGTATAAAAAACTCTATGAATAATTAAAGCGAGATAGCTACTGGCTAGATCATGGGAACGGAATTATTTAGCTGCGACAGGTCGGCGGCGGCGGCCGGCTTGAAGGACAGGTCAATTTGCAGGTGTCCTCTTTTTGCTGATGCTTTCAGAATATTCAGCCTGAGGTAATTTTGTTTTATGCATATATGAAAATAATACATTTGAAAATTGGATCACTTCACTTTTAGAGCAGGATTGTATTAGATTTGGAACAAAGGGTCGTTGTGACCCGGTTAACCTTCGGATGTGGTCTGTGGTTTCGGGGCATATTTAAGTATAATGGAGTCTACAAACCGAAGAATCGGGCCGGGACTAATGCGTGCCCCCGGGTCAGGCGACCGCTTCGGCCAAATGAAACGGAATGATATTTGAGAAAATTATTTAATTGGGGATCAAATTACGGGTTCATAGAATCAACGGACCGTTCTTGTGGCTTGCCTTTTTTGTGTTGCTCACTCGACGGAGCCTGCAACGAGAAAGATCGAATTCGTTCAATCTTTCCATATACATTATAGAATAAAAAATCTAACAACACTCCATCAAAAGTCCATCTTTGTATCTTATGACGATTAGATCCTCTTGTCGAACAGTGAAGAAGTTGGTTTTCTTAATGAAGAATGCTTAAAATATCCACTTTGTTCTTTGCATTTAGAGATGGGACTCGAACCCTTGACCTTTCGCAATCCGGGCGACTACTCTTTGAAGTTGTTTTTTTTATTCAACGAAAAATTTTACGCAGAACAATCACAACTAATTTCGAACACTTTAAGTGTTCAAAAGGTTATACAGAATAACCACCCTGATGCGATAATCGAAAACAATATAAATCCATTTGTTTTTTTCGCAGTCGAGTAAAAGTGGTCGTTAAGTGTTCTTTTATTGTTTATAACAAAACTGCTGTTCTGACTAAAGTTAAATGCAGTGCGATCAGTTAGGGCCGCCGCACATTATACGCTGCCATAAGTTAACAGATGACGGTGAGCACATTCACAACAATAAAATGGAATCTTGCAAGAATTTACAAAATAATTATTTATTTAAAAAAAAACTTTATTTCCATATAACTTAGCACAGAAATGGTGTACTGAAGTTTGTATGGTTAAATAAAAAAAACGTAATTCGGGAAGATTCAGTTAAAACCTACGATGATGAACTAGAAGTTATCATTAAGGTTAAATAAGGTAGTACTTTCTATAATAATAAAAACTTGAGTGAACCAATTAATATGTTTCAGTTGCAGTATTTTAATAGTCTGGCTAGTAGAAAAGACTAGTAGATAGGACGTAAACCAATTTTGGACCCTGAGCTTTCTATACTATTAAAAAAGGCGGCACTGCATTACAATTATATAAACATAACTAGTACCGATAGCATAACCATAAAGACTAATTTAAAACATTATTAATGGTCTACGAATGCGATAATATCAACATTAACTATTAGCTCAGTCCCGACTGGCTGACGTATTGTGGCTAGCCCACTGATACTGCTGTCTGCGTATCGCCTTTGGCCATGAACCGATCTCAAACCACGCCGTGCAGCGGCAGCCGCATCCTGCGAACAGGTTGCCGGAGCAAAAAAGGTTAAAGTATGTACAGGCGCGGGCAGGGCTGCCAGGACATTAAGGATTACGCCTAAATATGCCAAACCGATTACCTAGTTAATTTATATTTAAAATTGCATTTTACAGAATTATACTTTTAACTTAAGCTGTCTAAGCAGTAATTACGTGTATTTCGGCCGTTTTTATGCAACTGATTTGATGGTTATCAAAAGGAGATCAACGGAGACGTATATGGTAATCAAATCACGGACAGGACATATTTTGTTATGGAAGTTATATAAAGTCTTATAAATGACATTATGTGCCATAAAAATTCTAAGAAGGAATGTAGCTGGCAACTGATAACCCTCGATACGGGGCAAGTGCAGGGCGAGAGCGGGGCTGGCGATGGGGCGGGGGACTAATGACAGGGGCGGCGCGGCGCCCGCGGCGGCTACCGCGCAAATTGATGCCTGCGCCCTCTACGGACCTTTGCTCCCGGCTAGTGATGCACCATTCGATAAAATGCGACAGCCCGCACGCTCACGTAAAATTATTGTTTCTATCGCGCAGGTGCGATCCGGTAAGTGTGGTAGTAAGAGCCGTGCTCAATAGTTTACTTTGACGATTTATTCGCTGCCATTAAAGTTAATATTTAAAAACCTTTTACTCATATAATCTCTTATATAAAAAAATATTGTTTTTTTATAAATTTAATCAACAACAAAAAAAAAAAAATAGTACAAATATAAAATTTAATCTAAAAACAGTTATCTATTTTCATTTAATCATGAGTTATTATTAATAGCCATCAATTTTATAAAGTGAAAACGAGCAACTTACGAAGCAAGATTACGAGGCACATTATTGAGGCATCCGTTATTTTAATCAAAATAAAACACCTACTACTAACACACAAAACCATCCAGGCTTTACAATAGCAGTACGCAATATACTACCAACTAATAACATATTATCGACGTCGATAATCGTCTGTGCGATAACATCACTATCCGCCCGCATTACTCTATAAAGATTGCTATTAACTCTAAAGCATGAAGCGTACTGACTTATATTTAGAGCTGACGGTATGCAGCCTCCGTCGTAATTATAATCGAAGACCATCGCCTATCGCCATTTCTCAACGTTGATTTTTTATTTTTTTTACAGCAGACAGAGGTCATGGCATCTAGCTCCGACAGCCTCTGTTTATTTTTTTTTAGCAATTGTCGTTTTGCCGTTTGAGAACTTTCTAACTTTTACTTTGTAATGGAATCCATTAAGAAATCGAGTAACTAAGTTATTATTATTGGTACTTTCGAGTATATTTAAGATTTGTGACACAATGCTTTTGTTATGTTTGTGGTCTACTTATTTATATAGAAGACGATACGTTGTTTTAATAAACTAACATAATAAAATCATTTTTTTATTATTTCGCTGTTAAAAACATGGGTAGTTTTTTTATTTATTTGTGCTCTCTCATAATAATATGATGAATATGACTTTTAAATCTTTCAATTACCTAACTCACTTCTAAGAAATATCAAAATGTAACTTTCAACTTCAAGAGTCCAAAGCCCGTAAAAGTGTCCAACGATAACAATATAGATTACCTCACTCATTTTGTTACAAAACTTATCATCGCCGAGATCGGCGCGGGCGCAAAAAGCTTCTACTTAATAATTGGAAAATAGCCTAACATCAGTGGGAGGAGCGCGTAATCACGATGGTCGCGCGAGACACACTGATAAACTCAGCTACGTTGGACAGGGACAGAACTATAAAGGCGGAGTCATCAGCGACGAGCTTAGTCGATTACGGCCGATCGGAGCCGAATGGAAACCGCCCAGTCGCTAATGTTGGTGCGCTTCCATCGGCTACTATACTTGACCCGTCAGCTTTCGTGCGGCTCTCTCCGCGGGTAATGAATTGGAGGGTCAAATTATGATGGTTCTTTTAAGCGAGACAATGTTAACAATGTAGCTCTATTATGGTTTGGTATTAGGATAAAATGAGCCTGAGTGTAATGTATAAGGTATGGTTGGACTGCGATATCCCATATAGAGGCAATTAACTTGAC